ACCCCGCACAAGTGTTCATTCTAAAGCTGTGTTGGTCCAATACATTAGCCACTAGCCGCCAGTCACATATGGCTATTGAAATTTTAACTTACATTAATAAAAGTTCAATAAAATTAAGAGTTTTGTTTCTCAAGTTGTACTAGGCACATTTGAAGTACTCACTAGCCACATATGACTAGTGGATACTGTATTGGACAGTACAGATATAGGATGTTTCCAGAAAGTTCTATTGGGACAGACCTATTATAGAAAAAGATCTCTTTCAGTATTATAGTCATTTAACAAGCACACTTTGTTTTGAAGAATCTATTATCTTTTGTTCTCTGTCCTAACATCTTGAATAAGAAGTTCAGTGGAAAGTCTCACAAAAATGAAACAATGTATAGCACACACATCTTAAAAATATTATTTAGAACTTCAAATACAGAGTTAATATTTTAAATCCCTTCCCTCTGGGAAACCTACTAATCCATTACATCTTTCTATCTAAATCTACTGCAACAATTTTCAAAGCAAATATCACAAACTGAGTTGCAGTTAGAAGTAGTCATCTATAGGACAGTGACATTATCTACTTAATAAATGATATCTCGTTCTCATTTTAAAAATCAAAAACAGGCCAGGGGCGGTGGCTCATGCCTGTAATCCTAGCACTCTGGGAGGCCCAGGCAGGACATTTGCTTGAGCTCCAGCCTGAGCAAGAGTGAGAACCCGTCTCTACTATAAATAGAAAGAAATTAGCCAAACAACTAAAAATAGAAAAAGTTAGCCAGGCATGGTGGCATGTGCCTATAGTCCCAGCTACTTGGGAGGCTGAGGCAGGAGGATCTCTTGAGCCCAGGAGTTTTAGGTTGCTGTGAGCTAGGCTGATGCCATGGCACTCTAGCCCACGCAAGAAAGTGAGACTGTCTCAAAAAAAAAAAAAAAAAAAAAAAAATGAGCCAACACATACAAGTTCAAAGTTTTTACGAAAACCACCTTTCAAACACAGTTAACCCTGGCAAAAGAATTATATATATAAACTACTTTGTTACCAGGTTTCTTTGATCTATTATATTTTTCTTTTAAATATGAAAACACCTTTGTGTTTTTTCTTATAGACTGAAGCACTGAGCAAGATAAGTTACATTGGTAAATTTTTGTTGCAGTTTAGTATTTATAAAGAATTTATAATGAACTGTTTATTCCCAAAACATATTTCTGTTAAAATTTTAATTCTGATTACTATAAATGAATATTATAAACACGTATTATTCAAGAACATTTTTCTACTAAAGCTATAATATTTCTAATTAAATTTTTTTTTTTTTTGAGACAGAGTCTCACTTTGTTGCTCAGGCTAGAGTGAGTGCCATGGCGTCAGCCTAGCTCACAGCAACCTCAAACTCCTGGGCTCAAGCGATCCTCCTGCCTCAGCCTCCCAAGTAGCTGGGACTACAGGCATGTGCCACCATGCCCAGCTAATTTTTTCTATATATATTAGTTGGCCAATTAATTTCTTTCTATTTATAGTAGAGACCGGGTCTTGCTCTTGCTCAGGCTGGTTTCGAACTCCTGACCTGGAGCAATCCGCCCACCTCGGCCTCCCAGAGTGCTAGGATTACAGGCGTGAGCCACCACACCCGGCCTCTAATTAAATTTATAAACAAAAATAAACTGAAAACTGTCTCTTGATCTGAGTGCTGGTTATATATTAGGTACTCAAATTGTAAAAAAAATCAAGTTATTTACTTAAGAATGCCTGCACTTTCCTATATACGTATTATATCCAATAAGATTTTTTTCCTACTTTTGATTTTAAAAGTTAAAGCTTTGTAGAAAGCTGCAAAAATAGTAAAGAGATACTACATACCCTTTACTCAATTTTTATATCTTTTTAACTACTTTACTATTTTTTTTTCTTTTTTTTGATATAAAAACTAAGGCTTAGACTTTACTATTTTTATATCTTTATAACTACAGAGCAATATAACAGCCAGGAAACTGACATTGGTACAATGCCTGTGTATATAGTTCTATGCCATTTTATCACATGTAGATTTGAGTAATCACCACCACACTACAGGTACAGAATTATTCTATCACCAAAACATCTCCCTCATGCTATCCCTTCATAGTCATACCACTCCCCTCCTGACTACTATCCCAACCCCTGGCAACCGCTAATCTGTTTTCCATTTCTATAATTTTGTCATTTCAAGACTGTTATATACATGGAACTATATTGTACTGTCCCCAAGAATCATCCAAAACCATCCCTCATACCCACCCCTGGTCCATGGAAAAATTGTCTTCCATAAAACCAGTCCCCTTGGGGCCAAAAAGGCTGGGAACTGCAGATATAGGTCATGCCCTTTTGAGATTGGTTTTCTTCACTCAACATAATGCCCTTGAGAGCCATCCAAATTGTTGCATATATAAATAGTTCATTATTTCTAGTTTGATTCCACTGTGGTCAGAGAACACACTCCATATGATTTCAATTCTTTTAAATGTGTTGAAGTTTGTTTTATGGCCCAGGATACAATCAATCTATCTTGGGAAATATTCTATTGGCACTTGAAAAGCATGTGTATTCTGCTGCTGTTGGGTGCCTTGCTCTATAAATGTCGATTAGGTCCTATTGGTTGATGGCACTGTTCCGTTATTCTACATGCCTCTTGAATTTTCTGTTCCATTGTCCCATCACTTGTTGAGAGAGGGGTGCTTTAGTCTCCAATTATAACTGTAGGTTTGTTTATTTCTCTTTCAGTGCTATTACTTTGTGCTTCACACACTTTGAAGTTCTTGTTTGATATATACACATTAAGGATTTGTTATGTCTTCTTGATCTCTTTTATCATTATGTAATGTCTTTCTCTGCCCCTAGTAAGTTTCTCTGCTCTGAAGTCTACTTTACCTGTTATTAATATAACCAATCACATTTTCTTTTTATTAATGTTTGCATTGCATATCTTTTCTATCCTTCTACTTTCAACCTACAAGAATAAGTATCTTATACACAGCATATAGTCACTGTATAAAAGAACTAAGGTCCAAAGAGATTAAACAAGTTTCAAAAATCACATTAAAAGATAAAAAAGTGAAACTGGAAGCCAAATTTCTTGATTTCCGGTTCAAACACTTTTTTGCCTATAAAAAAGTGTCTTGCTTTAAACATGCAAATTAATTATAAACACATATAAGAATGTTAGATGGGCCAGGCGCGGTGGCTCAAGCCTGTAATCCTAGCACTCTGGGAGGCCGAGGCAGGCGGATTGCTCCAGGTCAGGAGTTCGAAACCAGCCTGAGCAAGAGCAAGACCCCGTCTCTACTATAAATAGAAAGAAATTAATTGGCCAACTAATATATATATATAAAATTAGCCGGGCATGGTGGTGCATGCCTGTAGTCCCAGCTACTCGGGAGGCTGAGGCAGAAGGATTGCTTGAGCCCAGGAGTTTGAGGTTGCTGTGTGCTAGGCTGACACCACGGCACTCACTCTAGCCTGAGCAACAAAGCAAGACTCTGTCTCAAAAAAAAAAAAAAAAAAAAGACATTAATTTAGAGGCTCATGATTTTTGAAAATCATGGATTTCTAGTATGGCAAACTCATAACACACTGACTCTCCCACACACAACTATAAACTCCAGACAATACGCAAAAATAACTGTCAGAAGATCCCTAAGCATGAACAAAATCAGGAAGATTTGGGAAAGGAGTGGGAATTTGCAAGAAAAAAGGAGTGGAAATGTGGCTTAAAATGAGTTTTCCATTTTTACAGTTTAGCCTGAGGGAAGACCATAGTGCACTGCAGCACAGAGTGATCAAAATTCTGATAAAACTTTCTGACCTAAAGAATAAGAGGACAGGGTCCAAGGCAATGGTAGTGGGGAACCCAGAAAAGAGAACACCAAAAAAGTGGAGCCCAAAATTATCTGCCCAAGTCTATGGCTGACTCTTCAACCACAAACATACACAACGCAAATTTAAGCAGTTGATAGCTAAGGCGAAAAGAAATGAACTCATATTCGAGCTGTTGCCCACCACATGAGAGAAAGAGTCTGCAGTTTAAGCCTAAAACAAAATCAGTAACACTCTTCGGAGGACTATAATAGAAAATAATGGATTTCACGCAATTCTTAAATATTTTCTAATTTTATGAATGAATGATAATAACAAAGTTATTACTAAATGAACCATATGAATAGTGGAAAGAACAATAATCTAGGAATGAGATTCGAGTTCTAGTCTCAACTATTCACCTCACTAACTTTTCTACCCTAAGACCATTAGCTAATCTCTTTGGGGAATGATATACTAAGAGCTATGGAAAGATTAGTTGTTTTTAAATTCAGCTAATCCTCAGAATCTTCTAGGGAATTTTTTAGAAATACAGGCCTCCCCCAAGAGATCATGTTCAGAAAATCTGGCCTGAGGTGGGACTAAGGTATCATATTTTCCTTAAGCCAAGTTTGAGAACCATTACACTCAATAACAATTTCAGGAGACAGGCAGGGCAAATGGCAGGGATGTCTGGTACTGATAGCTTATGCTACTCGGTAGGCTGAGGCAAGGATCGCTTGAGCCCAGGAGTTTGGGTTTACAGTGAGCTACAATGACACCACTGCACTCTAGCTGGGCCAACAGAGTAAGACTCTGTCTCAAAAAAAAAGATATATATCTGCAACTAAATTCTGGGAGACACATGCTAAGATGACAAGGGGGATTTTTCACTTTCCTAATTACACATTTCTCATTGCTTGGATTTTCTAAAATAAACGTATTACTTTTATACACAACAAAAATAATAAAGACATTCCATTTGGGAAGAAATACAGCTTTCTATAATATAATGAATTACCTCGAATTATTCTGTTCAGAAATTTATTGTTTTCCAAAATGTATCATGGTGTTTCCTAAGACAGAACACACATATACTCCTCATTTCTTCCATTCCTGTATGTTCCACATGCTGTCTGCCTTTCAAATATAAATAATAACTATGATCTTTACATACCTGATGGAGGAATCATCATCCTACGGTCCTGTTCCCATGGAGGTGACAGTGACCCAGTGTCAGAAGGTGCCCTAAGAGGATCAGTTAACCTATCACTGTTGGATTCTCCTCTCTCGTTGGTAATCTGATGGTCCAGAGGATTCCCTGGGCCTCTCGAGCCTAATTAAAGAAAAAAACCACACAAATCTGTTTCATCTTAAAAAGTAGTATAAGGCCTATCATCAAATAAAATCAAGATATCCTTTCAAAAGTGAAAACAATAGAGTTCAGAAAAGTTTCCCTAAGACACATTTAGACTACAATTCTCTCCTATCAAAGCCATTTCTAGGACAAAGGAAAAATAATTCTTCCATGTATGTAAACAAACTCTTGTCTATAAAATTCATTTTTAAATGTTATCACCATTGTTTTACACATAAAATCAGTAGTTAAAATCACAAATTATAGATAGTAAGTCTGAAAAATAAAGGTATAGAAAGTAAAGTGTTAAGTAAAGATTTCCATACCAAAAATAGTAACTATAAAATGAAGTTTTTGTTGCTTAAACTAGTATGTCAATAGTCAAAATGTGCATGCTCCCTTTAAAATAGTCATCTTAGGGGCTATATATCTATTTCAATAATCTTGCTACTACTCAAAGTATTTTTTAGAACAATTGTTTTAAAAATGTACTCAGACTAACTTGAGAGCCACGCAAAAAATTACATCCTAATGTTGTAATATGACTCTACACTTCAGCCCAAAACTTTAACCAATCTGATTAAAAACTTTATGCCCACCAAATAAATTTGGCTATAAATGGCTTTTAGTAATTTCTAAATATCAAAGTCACATTCAAGAAGAGAACTCACAAGCTCTTAACTCTAAAACAAGAGTTTCAAAAACAACAGCACTGGGAGAAGGGACGAGGAGAGGGGCAAAAACCTACCTAATGGACACAAAGAACACTTTGGGTGATGGGCACACTTATAGCCATGAATCAAGCATTACAAAAGCAACCCATGTAACCAAAAACATTAATATTTTGAAATTAAAAAAAAAACATAATAGCACATTATCTCCAAAAGGTTTTCCCACAAGGTCAAGCTCCCCAGAAACAAACCCTGATATTTTGAGGCTAGGAAAAAAACAGCAGCAACAGCACTACTGAAAAAATACTTTAAACAAGATACCATTCATTTGGATAAGCAAATCAGGTATGTTTACATTTACAATGGGGGAGATTATTTTAAAGTTTCTTCCCTATGATCATATAAAAGGCAGTACCTTAATTAAAAACTCATATTTAGTTAAAATGGAAAAAACAAATATAAAAAAAATTTAAACATTCAATAATAAAATACGGTAATACTTCATTTTTCTGTCATTGAGGGAGGAATAAGGTCTTCTCAAAATTATACTGTCCAGAAGACAAAGCGGTTTTCCTTTCAAGGAAGAGCTTCAAAAAAAAAAATTTTTTTCCAATAAGAATCTAACTTTCTGTTATGCTTCCTCCATACCTCCTTTAAGAGAAGAGACCACAATTAATTTTACCTTTTCTTGTTAACTGGTACAAATCAGTATAAGCATTCATTTCTTTAATATAGAGTAATCTTTTTTTAAAAAAATTTGCAACTACTCCCTTTGTAGAGCCAGGTCAACCAACTAGCTTTTATGTCAGGAGGTCAACTATCATTTTTCTTTATGGTTTTACACTCTATTAAATTCCCCAAATCTTTCCTTCTAGCTTCTTCATCTTTCTAATTATAATTATTTCATCAGAAGAAGGTCTGGCAAGCAGAAAATGTGCAAGAGTCAATTAGGCTGAATTTATCTGGAGTAAAGCACAAAGCTTTAAAGGAGACATTCAAAGGCCTGCTCCTGATTGCTTACTTCCAGAGGACCAAAGCTACAGGCCAAATGACTACCAGATGAAAATTACAAACCTGCAAATGCTAAAGGTTAAAGTTTTCCATTCAAACCAAAAGTTATATAACTATTACTCTAAAAAAGAAACTTTTCCTAACACTCAATATTATTCAAACATATTACTCATCCAAACTTCAAATTTAAAACGATAATAAAAGGAAGGGAAAGAGCACTCTTCATCCCTCTTTGGTGGATGGTAGAAACTTTTGGTCCAAAGCAACTGTTTGACCTGCTGATAACTTACCTAGACCTTCTGTAGCTTTTTTAACAAATAATAAAACACCCTTGCAAATACTCTAAACACATTGTATCTTGAAAGCAATTAAATAGGAGAGGAAATAGGAGAGGAGAAATCAAAGGTAATTTTTATTTTCATCCCAAATATTCGATTGACTACAAGCAATCCTTGACTTATATAATTCAACTTCGAGTGATTCACATTTGTAGTTTAGCCAATTATACCCTTATTTCTAGGGTACTGTTTTCTCAGACTGCTAGCTGCTACCCATTTTGTGGTGTACGAAACTTAGTCTTATAATTAGCATTACTTTTTAATGAAATAGAATAGAACTAAATAGAAAATATCAGAAAACATCAAAACTGTAATGGTAAGTACTATTCATGTAACTGGTTTCAATTATATTTATGTTGATGTTTAATATGACAAGATATAAAATATATTTCTTACTATAAGTAAAGGTAAAAAAACTGGGGGTTAGGGGGTTGGACTTAGGAACTAAGCCCTAAGTTTACATCACACATGTAAACTTCCAAATTGGCCTCCTTCCTGAAGTGCTCAATGCAAAGCTCCCTTGGGTTCCACGTATCAGTCTACAGCACAGTTCCTTTCCATAGCACCTTTCAGTGCAAAACCAAGACAAGCAAAAGCTCTCTCTGAGGTGACCTCAGGCTGTGGGCCCAATCTGCAGGGGGACTGGGAAGTAGGAAGAAACTATTCTAACTGGAGCAAAATGATGACAGAGAAAGAGGACATAAACAGTAAAAGGGCAAAGCAAATGCCCATGAAATTGATTTTCTCATATTCTTTGAAGGCAATTCCAAAGGAAGAGTTCCAAATATATTTGGAATAATGGCAGCTTCGACTAGGAAGTACACAGACTTCCTAAGAGACAAATCAGATGATTAATATCCATTTGAGAGTATGAGCTTTGTATGCTAGTTGAGTTTGGTGTTTTTACTTAGTCTCATTGCTTTATGTTCCCACCTCAGATTCAATCTGTCAAAATCACTGACTAAAAGGGTGGGAACACTTCACTAATGAAGAATGCCGTCAGCTCTTTTAAACACAGACTTGGGACTGAAAACCTAAGAATTTTGATTTTTGAATAAATAAGACTCTGTACCTTTGAATTTTGCCACAAATCAAGGGAGAACTTTAAAGCCACTTGACAAAGTGAAGAAAATATGGTGAGAGATCAAAAGAGAGGAACTCCAGACACACAGGAGTTTATTAGAGCCTTTTGTAACACCAGGGTAATGCTGATAAGATAAATTTGGAAAGACCAACAGCTAATGCTTAGGCTTGAAGTAGCTAAGGAAATTTTCAAAAACATGGAAAGGAACAAAGCAGACAATCCTGAGTGGGTTTCTCAGAGCATTAACAAATGATTTAGGCTGGGCGTGGTGGCTCACGCCTGTAATCCTAGCACTTTGGGAGGCCAAGGCGGGAGGATTGCTTGGGTGGATTGCTCGGAGACCATCTTGAGCAAGGGTGAGACCCCGTCTAATATATATATAGAAAAAATTAGCTGGGCATGGTGGCGCATGCCTATAGTCCCAGCTACTAGGGAGGCTGAGGAAGTAGGATTGCTTGAGCCTGGGAGTTTGAGGTTGCTATGAGCTAGGCTGACACCACAGCACTCACTCTGGCCTGGGCAACAAAGAAACACTCTGTCATTAATTAATTAATTAATTAATTAATTAATAAAAACTCTGCCTATAAGAACACTTTTGATTTCTTTCACCCTAAAAGAAGTTTTTTTTTTACTTTCTGATATTCTACAATAAGATCATGATAATAAAATTAAAAAAAAATTTTAAACTTCTATATTCTAATAATGTTTCATCAAAATATAGTTTTATGCTAGGTTATACTGTTATTGTATTTTACGTATTTTTTATAAAATTTTACATTGTATTTTATGTATTCTTTATAAATTTTATATTGTATAGTATAATATACAGTTTTTAAGAAGTCAAAAATTTGGTTTAAAAAGATATGCATCAAGTCCTTGATCAAAATGTAATCTAGTATAACACCGTTTCTAAGAGAAAAATATATTAAAATTAGATATCATAGAGCTCCTCTTCAAAAAAAAAGTAACCCACAATAAGTGCAAGGAATGCCTGTATTTCCCAAATGTTTATTTTCCCAGATCATTTTGAAGGTAAGTTGAGATGAAAATATAAAGTAAGGAAGAAATATAGAGTAATAAAGATATTTAAACAATATACCTCTTCCTCCTCCCCCTGGAAGCAAAGGTGAGAGTCTGAGTGGACCCTCCAACAAAGTTGGAGGAGAGAGAAAAGCTCTCGTTTCAGATGAAGGCCGACCCAATGGTGAGGGACCATATGGGGAATGTTCTGGAATAATTAAAACAGCATATTTAAATTCATAGTTTCAGTAAGCTACACTATAAAGTTAGAATCTCATTTCAACAATTGCCATCAGGTCATCCTATTGTGAATTTAAGTTTAATACAAGTCCTGAACACTAACTATGCCTTTGGTTCTGCTAATATAGAATAGAATTAAATATGGAGCCTGGTGTTTTTAAGGTTTGTCTACCAAATAGACACTTTAAAATCAATACTCTACTGATAATACACTGAACAGTCATACATATTAACCAAAGGATATTGGCGATACATTTTAGTTATAGGAAGATTTGGGGGACATGAAGTTTGTTTGGTTTTGTTTTGTTTTGAACGGCAGTATGCTTCTAGTATACAACATGGAAGTGCTCAATTTAAATCAGGGCCAGATAAACTGTGTTGGGCCATAAATCATCTGATTACAAAAAGTAGAAAAATGCATAAAATACCCTGAAGCATCACAAATTACTTTTGATTCATTACCCGTGAAAACTGTTTACATATATTATTTATCAAATAAATCACTATCTATAACCCATATCACTAAGAGCACTATGATTTTATAAACTTTACTATGCCCAAATAATGGTTATACTTCCAAAGGTCAAAAATCAACAATAAAAAACAAACAAACTTAAATACCACCAAAATAACACTTTTAAACATGTTAAATTCTATTGAGTATAGCTGATATCATATTCAAATCAGTTACAACAAAAGATCAAGCATTATTTACCCTCCCTCAGACTTCTGCATTGGTTCAGACAAAAATTCCTTCCATATACTTTCTTTTCCCCACCACAAACTTTGTTACTACTCAAAATTTATTATAATCTTCCATTTTTAAAATGTAGAAATAGACTTTCGGTTTAATGGCATTTGACTCTCAAAAGTGATTTTTTATAACTTCTCAACATTAGTAAAATGGGATTCTACCTATATAAAGATAGATTTATTTTTAGTGTCTCATAAGCTTAATTCCAATTCAACCAAAATTATTATGAAAATGGTTCACTATTTGGAATAGTCTGAAATCACTAAAGACACCAACTCAGCCGGGCGCGGTGGCTCACGCCTGTAATCCTAGCTCTTGGGAGGCCAAGGCGGGCGGATTGCTCAAGGTCAGGAGTTCAAAAACCAGCCTGAGCAAGAGCGAGACCCCGTCTCTACTATAAATAGAAAGAAATTAATTGGCCAACTGATATATATATAAAAATAATTAGCCGGGCATGGTGGCTCATGCCTGTAGTCCCAGCTACTCGGGAGGCTGAGGCAGAAGGATCGCTCGAGCCCAGGAGTTTGAGGTTGCTGTGAGCTAGGCTGACGCCACGGCACTCACTCTAGCCTGGACAACAAAGTGAGACTCTGTCTCAAAAAAAAAAAATAAAGACACCAACTCAATAATAAATGGACAGAAATACTAAATACATCTTATGAAAAACTGGTCCTCCCTTGGAGTAATTAAACCAATCAAAACTCAGGTTATTAGTCTTTTCTATCTTTTAAATTGATACTTTTAAATAATTAAAAACTTACTATTTTAGTTCTCAATTTTATAATTCAAGCAAATTCCAAAGTATAGTTAATATATAAACAGTCACAATGCTATTCCATGTAAGCACTCTTTATTCATTCATTCTCCCAAAAAACAGTTAGTGAGTATGTTACTAAGTGCCAAGCACTTGGCTTTTCAAGGAGCTCAGGGTACTAAATATACATCATCTTACAAAATCCCACCAAGAAAGGAAGGCAGCAATAATTTGCATTATTGTTGGGTAAACAAAACCCAGAAACTTGGGAGTTTGTGAGAGCTTAGTTTTAGAGACGTGGCTCCAAAATCTAAAATATTTATAAATAATAGTGTTAATTTACACTAATATAAACTATATTGTAATATATATATATATATATAAATAATATGTATTTTAAATGAGGGGTTAAAAAAAAAAGACTACCTCTGCCAAATGCTGTATTTGGAACATCAAGTGCATAAGGATCTTTTTCTAAAAGTTCAAATTTAAACTCTGTTTCAGTTAATCTGCAAATAAAGAACAAACATCTCTAAGTTACTCATCCAAAAGAAGCACCCACATTTCAAGAAAAATGCTACTACCAAGTACAAGCTACTCTTTTGTATCTCATTATCTACATAGAAGAAACATATCCTCTAAAATTATTCTAACCAAATATCTTTATCTCCCACTACTTATAACCAGGGTAACCAATTTCTTGGTGCCTAAGGATAGTGATGTTTTGTTTAGGTTTGGAACTGCTTCTTTTTCAAAACAAGACTATCATTAGTACTATATTACAGAATCCAAATTTTCAAAATAGAAGAGTCCTCCAAGGTCAACCAGTTCAAGTCTATTATATTACAACTAAGACAACTGAGGCGGAGTTTAAATGATTTATTCAAAATTACATTGCCAAGATTGAAACATAGAGTTCCTGACCCTGAGTCATGTATGCTTTCCACTATAAAGTGACCCATATGATTTCAGTCATAACATAAAATCATTAACTCATCCTACTATTTCACCCCTAAACTTGTTATCTTAAAAATGTGACATGTTAAAAGAATCTTATTTCTAGTTCTTGAAGATCAGGTCTGAAATAAAACATTTAATCATTTGACTTTAATTTCTTTAAGTAGAAAAGACAAGCAAGAGGACTAAAACTAATATTGGATAATGTTAATAGTACATTATGGCAAGAAATTATAACACAGTGGGAAGACTGTTACCATCTTCATAAGAAAGCATTTACTCTTCCCTTCCATTGTACGTTGTACACTTTTATTATCTTTGATTTTATTATTGTAAAATAATGCATACAACACAATAAAACCAGGGAATGAGAGAGATAATAAACATTTATTGTACTACTCATCCATTAAAAGATGCTGATACTCTGAGCATTACTTTGTCAGAGAGATTCATCCTTTCTCTTTCTCCATTTTTACTTCCCTTCACATATACTGGTCTTAAAAAAAATTTAAAGATACACTTTTTACAGAAGAATCTGTGAACAGTTTCCTTCAAGTGCCACTTCATTGGACTCTCTAAGACTAAGTACTTCAAATTAAAAAAACTTTTCGCTCCTAGTATAAGTAACATATATTTCACAATGAGATATGCTAGATTTACTGCAAGTTTTCTTATTTATCATTGTAAAAGTATTATCTAATTAATAAAATAACAACAAAAGTAATAACTAAAGTTTTTAAAGTGCTCCCACTAAGATACTTACTTTTGTCTATTGTGAGCATTTTCTTTCCTTAAATCATTGAGGTTTCTTTCAGCAGTCCGAGCTGCCAACTTAAACAAAATAATATATTTTTAAAATACATTTATAGAATCTTAAAATAAAAAATAAACAATGATGATATACAAATATCACAGTCACTTAAGTATCCATTTTAGTAAATTCAATGTAAAGCATTTTAACTTAGGGAATTATTTTAAAAGTGAATGAGTTTTATGAAAACAAAAGACATATGCCTAAGGCTGGAATTTAATTGTGTACTTGCCAATGAATATAGCTATCTTGATGTGAAATCAAGGATTAGCATTATTTGGTGCTATAAATATCCAAATAACATGATAAGAGCTATGTAACAGAATGCAAGCTTAGGGCAATGGAAATGAAGACTCCTGGTCACTATGCATAGCAGCACTGACCATGGAACAAGGTAATGATCTCTGGAAAGAAATCACTATAATTCTGTGAAACTATAAAGGTCTAAATAGCTTTACAGCATGCCAGTACAGGCCACTGTTTTAAATGGCTGAATATAATCAACACACGTTGCTTGTCTATTAGGTACACAGCATTGTACGGATCATATTCTCGTAAGTCTTTTATATTTGTTTCATGATATTTTTATTTAATAAAATAAAACATTAAAAATTAGAGTACATATATTATAGAAAACAAAGCTTACACTTTTAATAAACACCAAGAACATGCAATATTCCCATATAGCTGTGGGCAAAGATTAAATTTGTATGGTATACTCTATGTTTCCCAGTCATTCTGCGGACTCTGAATATTAGATGAAGTGGTATGTGAAACAGCCTGGCCAAACTAATATAATCCACTAATAAACTAATGTAAGTTAACTCAGTCTACAATCACAATTTTTAACAAGTAAAAGGAACTACACTACCAAATGTGTATTCACTTAAAACTGTGAACTACACATTAGAACTGACCAAGGAATAAATTATATAAATATTCACAAAAAATTCACTTAAATATATTTTAGCACTATCAAAAAAGATTCCATGTGTAAATTTTTTCTAATATGTAATCGTATAATTAATTTTGCACTCACAAAAAAGAATGCTACACCAGTAACAATTTTAGTTAGTAAAATATATTAATTCTTTTAACTGTTAACAATGCAGAACCAAAATTACTTCTAAATATACATGTATTCTACACAGAATATGTCTATGTAGAAAATGGATATTCTACACAGAATATGTCTACATAGTCTACACAGTATAACATATTTACTCTTTTTTTTTTTTTTTTTTTTGAGACAGAGTCTCGCTTTGTTGCCTAGTCTAGAGTGAGTGCCGTGGCATCAGCCTAGCTCACAGCAACCTCAAACTCCAGGGCTCAAGCGATCCTGCTGCCTCAGCCTCCCAAGTAGCTGGGACTACAGGCATGTGCCACCATGCCCGGCTAATTTTATATATATATATATATGTTGGCCATTAATTTCTTTCTATTTATAGTAGAGACGGGGTCTCGCTCTTGCTCAGGCTGGTTTTGAACTCCTTCCTGACCTTGAGCAATCCACCCACCTCAGCCTCCCAGAGAGCTAGGATTACAGGCGTGAGCCACCGTGCCCAGCACATATTTACTCTTGAGCATAAGACCTGACCAGGTGCAGTGTTTATATATATTATATATATATATATATATATATAAAATTAGCTGGGCATGGTGGCACATGCCTGTAGTCCCAGCTACTTGGGAGGCTGAGGCAGCAGGATCGCTGGAGCCCAGGAGTTTGAGGTTGCTGTGAGCTAGGCTGATCCCATGTTATTCTAGCCTGGGCAACAAAGCAAGACTCTGTCTCAAAAAAAAAAAAAAAAAAAGCATAAGGCCCCAAAAAATCATAGTTAACTATCAATATTAAAAATATGCTAATATACATATATATAAACTGATGACAAATAATTACAGACTTTTGAAAAACTTACATGAAACTGTAATTTCAGTGATTGAACACTAATCTAAAACACTGTATTCAAACACTGAATACTTACAATATGCAAAGTATTCTGTTAAGTGCAGGTGTTAAGAAAAAAGAACCAGTTGCTATCTTATGGAGCTTAAATCTTTTGATAAGGACAAATATAAATGACTACAGTAAAGAACAGAATAACCTGCCACAGGATATATGAAAATAAAGTACTACATGAGTTCAAAGAAGGAAAAGATAAAATCTAACAGGATACAACAAAGAAATGCTCAGTGGAGAATGTACAATGGTAAATATTAGACTTTTACTAGTATTAAGGTAAAAACTGTAACAGTAAAAAAGTAGAAACAAACTAAAGTTTATCAAATGAGAAAGGTTTTTATAAAGTATGAAAAACATTCACAGAAAAAGATCTATGATATATTAAGAAAGCGAGTTATAAACAGTAAGACATGACAATTCCTTTTTTAAAAAACATATATATCTCCTCTTTACCCGTCATTTCCTTATGAAGGCTCCTGTGTCACATAAAACTTACATTAAACAAAAACAAAAACAAACAAACAAAAAAAACCATATATATGCTTTCATGTCTAAATGCATTCAAACAAGTATGGTATAAATGAAAGTTATATTGATGATTAATTCTTTATGCCTTTATGTGTGGTCTGAACTTTTTTAATAATGAGTACATATATATTATTTTAATAAAATCTGAAAAATATCTTTTCACTGAGACATAAAGGGTATATTTCCTGCATGTTTTAATTTAAAGTCAATGTCATATTTACTAAACAAGAAACTCGACATACAGTAACAGAAAAAGTACAAGACTTAGAATCTGAAAGATCAGAATTTCAATCTCTACTCTTCACTCTCTAATCACATGGCCTTGGGCTGTTTCCTCATCTGTAAATCTGGAATAGTAATACCTACTTCACAGAGTTACTGAGTGGACTCAATCGAGTAATATACGAAGTAAAATGCCTTTAAGTACAGTGCCTCGAACACAGAAATTTTAATAAACACCTTCTCCATCTCTAAAAAGTAATCTACATCTAAGTATTTAAAAAGTGGTACAGAGTTGCCCGGTGCAGTGGCTCATGCCTGTAATCCTAGCACTCTGGGAGGCCAAGGCGGGAGGATTGTATGAGCTCAGAAGTTCAAGACCAGCCTGAGCAAGAGCGAGACCCCTTCTCTACCAAAAATAGAAAAAAATTAGCCAGGCATGGTAGCACATGCCTGTAGTCCCAGCTACTCGGGAGGCTGAGGCAGAAGGATAGCTTGAGCCCAGGAGTTTGAGGTTGCTGTGAACTAGGCTGACACCATGGCACTCCGGAGCAACAGAGTGAGACTCTGTCTCAAAAAAAAAAAATGTGGTACAGAGTGGTAAAGAAGACTAAACTCATCTCCAAGCCCAACTTTAATCTTCACTTGAACCCTCAATATCAAAGAATACAGAATCGTAGAACTGGGAAGGACCTGGAAGTTCAACCTAATCTCTCACCCTGTGCTGGAATCTCCAGTCCAACATGCCTAAGAAATATCTACCAAGCTTCAGTACAGCAATGATAATAGCAGTTAACATTTATTTACTATTTACTGTGTATTAGGCACTTGGCAACAACCTTACATAAATCATCACATTTAATCATCAGAATAATTGTATGAAATGGGTATTATTGGTGTCTCTATCTTATAAATAAGGAAACTGGTAGTAGGTGATAGAGCCGGGATACTATCCAAAACAGGCTGATTACAGACCCATCTATTCACCCACTGTGCAAACTGTCTCCCCTTGAAGATTCCTAGTGACAGGTACTCCAAGGGCTAGCTATTATAATAGTTCTCCATGTTAGAGAAGTCTTTCTTATATTATAATTAGTCAAAATCTGCATCCTTATCACTTCCTCACACAGTTAACTCCTCTGAAGCACAGACATATTCTTTCTCATAATGGCTCTTTTCTCAATATGTTTCAAGTAACTCAACACTGAGAATCAGACAACTGTATGATTTTTAGAACCAGATATCATTTAGTCCAGTCCTGTTGTTTTACAAATGAGCAGAGAGGCCCAAAGAATTTTAATATTTGTCCACAACTAAATTAGTGGCAATCCAGTGCCCTAAAACAATGAATCCATGAATATCACATCATCTCCCCCAGAGAACATAAACTTCTTTCAAAGAACAATGTGCTGAAAGCAGAGACGGAAAAATCAGGTTTTGTGAATAAACTGCGTTGTAACAAAGTATTTTATTCACAAAAAACAAGTCATTACTGGTGAAATTTTTAAAAAGTGATTTTCTTTATTTTAACCTAATTTAAAAATGAGTAATCCACCTTCTGAAAGGAAAGCACAATTTGACAAAAGAACTTTAAGGAAATTTAAAACTTACCCAATTATCATGTGCTTTTTTCTCATGAGAAATAATCTGAAAAAGAAAGTCATTAAAATACCACTGATAACTTTTTTTTAAGTGAAAAACATTCACATCTACCACTATGATTTTATTTTTTAAGAGATGGGGGTCTCACTCTGTCACTCAGGCTAGAGTGCAGTGGTGCAGTCAATCACAGTCACTGTAACCTCGAACTCCTGGGCTCATGTAATGCTCCCCTGCCTCAGCCTCCCACGTAGCTAGGACTACAGTCATGTACCACCATGTCCAGCTAATTTTTAAATTTTTTGTAGAGACGGGGCTTGCTATGTTGCTCAGGCTGGTCTCAAACTCCTGGCCTCTAGTCATTCATCCCCCTCAGCTTCCCAAAGTGCTTGAGATTAGAGTTGTGAGCCACCACACCAGGCCTACCACTACAATTCAGTGTATACCTCATAAACTCAAAAACATTCCAAGCATCTGGAGTCAGTAAGCAACATTTTTAAAGCACAAATTTTCATGCACACATGATCTACTCTACTACACTTTTAAAATAAAAACTGAATGTATAGACAATAAAAATTTTTGTCTAGTAAACTTCTACTTTATGCAATAATTAACTACAACAGGAGTTGCCCATTAACAGATAACTAGCCTGATGAATAAGAGACCCCAATGCTGATAAATGTTTATTTATGCAACGAAATCCACATTCCCAAAGCAGTAGGAGAAATGGCATCTTTAAATAAGATTTCTTGGCCGAGTGCCAATGGCTCAGGCCTGTGCTACTAGCATCCTGGGAGGCAAGGCAGGAAGATTGCTTGAGTTCAAGAGTTCAAGACTGTTGGGAAAATATGATTGAGGAATTAATGAGATGTAGCTCATAAGACCATTATTTTTATTGTATCGCCCTATATTACTATATTAAAGACAGAAACAAGAGTTTGCAGGGTTTTGCCCTGAAGGAATGTGTGGACTCAGTGGTTCACTTATTAGAGGCTGCTATCACGGGAGAGCTCTCATATCTCCAGTAGGGATGTTATCCAGGAAGGCTTCCCAGTATCTCAAAATCTATGAGCTTCCCTTTGTCTTGAAAGACAAGACAAGGCAAATATGGCCCACAGGAAGGGAGCCAGAGATAATGAGTGCACTTTGCCCAGAGATGCACCCCAGTGGTTATAAACAACCTGTTTTATAGAGATGGGCTTCCTGCTCTCTCCTGTCTGTCTACCTTTAAGTCCACAATAACTAATCAAAGAAATATAGAGTCACTATACCTCTTTTGTTATACCTTTGTTAATTTGACAACTACCTCTTAGAAGTTAGAAGTTAGCCCCTGAAAGACTTTGAACCTGTTTGTTCACCTAGATAGATTAGAAGCCCTTTGAGAGGACTTTTGACCCCAACCCACTACCTGTCTCCCCTAGCAACTGCATTCCCTGATATGCAAATATGTTACCCTGACAACTTGTAATTGATGTCTGTGATTATAAAAACCTGTATGAATCTAACTATATTGCTGGATGTTCATGGGGATATATCCAGTCTCCTGAGTAACCCCACTGTTATATCTGATCTTTTTATATAAAACTATAAACTATACCTTAGTTTCTGTGTATTCTTTTTTTATTCTATTTCCTATCAATTTCCTTATCCTCTGTGGCGACCCCTTATCCTCTGCTTCTCTCCGTGGGGAGAAGCAGCTGATCTCCTCGTGGGCCTGCCTCAACTACTTCCCTGTAGAGACCAGCCTGAGCAAGAGTTAAGACCCCATCTCTACTAAAAATAGAAAAAATTAGCCAGGCGAGGTGGTACGAGCCTGTAGACCCAGCCCAGTAATTAGGAGGCTGAGGCAGGAGGATCACTGAGCCCAGTAGTTGGAGGTTGCTGTGAGCTAGACTGTCTCCATGGTACTCTAGCCTGGGCAACAAAGGGAGATTCTGTCTCAAAAATAAATAAATAAAATAAAATAAATAAGATGTCTTATCCCAGAATCTCTGACTCCCTGGAAATGTTCCACAGCCACATGAAACACCTCAAAAGAAGTCTACAACTGGTCAAGTAATTATATTCCTGCATCATTTCAAACAAATAAGAATTGTTTTAAATTATAAACACAAAACACACATATACATACCTGCCCTTGATAAGAATGAATGGTTCTCTCCAATTCTTCTTCAAGATCTTTGGCTCGCTTTCTAAATGGAACAAATAATTATTCTACTATTAATATATATTACAATAAGAAATGACAGAACATACTCTTTACTAAAAAAAATTAATTAAAACACCCAGAGTACTCAATTTCATATAAAAAATGACTCTAGAACTCCACATATTAAGAAATAATTACCTATGAGAGGTCCTAAAGTATATTTTTTCCTACACTAACTTCAACATTAATTACACATTAAAAATACTACTACTTGAGTTTATCTACACCAAAAGTCATGCAAAGATTTATATGGTATAGATATATATATATATATTTTTTGAAATAAAGTATCACTGTGTTGCCCGGGCTAGAGCACTGTGGCATCAGCCTAGCTCATAGCAACCTCACACTCCTGGGCTCAAGACATCCTTCTGCCTCAGCCTCCCAAGTAGCTGGGACTATAGGCATGTGCCACCATACCTGGCTCATTTTTTCTATATATTTTCTAGGTATCCAAGTAACTTCTTTCTATTTTTAGTAGAGATGGGGTCTCACTCTTGCTCAGGCTGGTCTCAAACTCCTGAGCTCAAATGATCCACCAGCCTCAGCCTCCCTGAGTGCTAGGATTACAGGTGTGAGCCACCACACCCGGCCGCTTTTTTTTTATGAAGCATGACCCTGGAAGACTTATTCAGATGTCTGTAATCTTAATAGAATTCTAGGAAATTAGAAACCTTGTGAAGTAAAATGGTACTTATTACCTTTATGAGACTAACAGATAATTCCTTCTTTTGGATAAAACCCTAGTTTGGTCTTCTTAAGGTAAAATTAAGTATCACAACTACTCGGGAATAGCTGTATCTTGCCACTTTTTCTCTCTAGGTTCCTTGGATCTAGCGAACGTGAAAACTAGATCAAACCAATGTAAAAACTAGACTTACAGTCTTATAAATACTTCTTCAGAATGCTAATTTGGGCGCACTCTTCCTTCTGTAGCACATTTGTTGATTTTTAAATATTATATACATTCTTCCCAGTATGAACCAAAAGGGAGAGACCTTGAAATTAATGTCTATTCAGAAATTCCTTGACATTAACATAAAATAGTATTGTCCATATACAATTGTGAGATTTAAAAAATCACCCCAAAAGGAAAACATTTTTCCTCTTTATATTTTCTGTATAACTGCATAACAGCAAGAAATCTAAATGAAAATTAATAAAACAAAAATGTTACTTATTTTCAGTTGATTTATTATTTTTTCTGGTTTTAAGTTTTCAGATACCCTTCCCACCCCAAAAAGAAAGGGGAAAAATATCTTTAATACCTATAGGTCTCCAGCTCTTCAGCTGCATGGCTGATCTTTTCATCTACTTTGGAAAGTTTCTCTTCTTTCTCTAACCGGTGATTTTCCTCTACTGTCAATTTCCTTAAAACAAAAAATGTATGAATTCTTTTAATGCATGTCATAAAATAATCCATTATAACTTTTTAACAACTGTATCAAAACTGGTGCTTCCCATAAAATTATTTTCATAATACCACTAAAAACTTCACATGCAGGGAAAAAAAAGTACCTGTATAAATATTCCTAGTGTGGAATTTAATATTATAAACTCAAATTGTAAGCACTATGTCTAATACAGTGCTAAAAATCTAATAGTTTCAAGGGCTTTCTATATAAATTTATTATAAAAACATAATTATCAAAGATAAATATTAATAAAAACTATTATGACTATATATCATTTATCAAGACTTCCTGGCCGGGCGCAGTGGCTCATGCCTGTAATCCTAGCACTCTGGGAGGCCAAGGCAGGCGGACTGCTCAAGGTCAGGAGTTCGAAACCACCCTGAGCCAAGAGCGAGACCCTGTCTCTACTAAAAATAGAAAGAAATTAATTGGCCAACTAAAAATATATAGAAAAAAAATGAGCCGGGCATGGTGACGCATGCCTATAGTCCCAGCTACTTGGGAGGGTGAGGCAGTAGGATCACCTGAGCCAAGGAGTCTGAGGTTGCTGTGAACTAGGCTAATGCCACGGCACTCTAGCCCAGGCAACAGAGTGAGAATCTGTCTCAAAAAAAAAAAGACTTCCTGAATAAAGCAGCATCACATTTGCTGGGCAAGAACTGTGTTTCAGTAATTTTTAAATTGATTATTTTAAAAGTGATTACAGGCCAATTCACACACACACAAAAAATTATAATGAACCCAAAGTAAATAATAGTAGCAGTAGGGGTAGTATCAACCCTTTTTATTACTTCTAATTCTATTATTAATAAGAATAGGTAACTTACTGAGTCATTAGTATGTGCCAGAAATTGCTCCTAGGATTTTACATGTATTATCTTACTGAATTACTACAATAGCTCCACAAGAAGGGTACTATTATTAATCTTATTTTACAAAAATTAAAATGAATTACAGAGAAACTATTGACCAAGTCACAGAGCTTGCAAGTAGGGACTCCTTTATACTATATTACCCAGGCTGTTGCACATTGTATCATTAATAACACTGGTCCCTCAAGAAATATTTATTGAATGAACAGAAAAACACATTTGGAAGTCCTAAATGGCTATTTCTCCTCCTTTATGAACTTCAGGAAGGAAAAATGACAAACTATCAAAAAAGTCCTACAAGGCAGCAATAAATGTTTTACATTCTACACACTACATTGCCTATTGCTTAGAAAGCACTCCCCTAGGTCAATCATTTCGTAAATGTTATAAGAAAATAAAAGTCATCTCCTTAGGAAAGCATAAAAGTGGAATGAGCACGGGCATGGAAGAGAGATGTGTTTTTACAGACTGTGTAGCTCGAAGAAATTCTTTGATACCCCTCTCATTGAAAGGCAAGATCTGTGTGCCGTCCCCTTGAATTTGGGTGGGTCTATTAAAGATGGAAATTACACTGTGAAAGGAACCTAATAATATGACAAGAACAATCATACCTTACTTCTCATATTTAAAGCAATATACCAAGCTTCTAGGTCCTACCATTTCACTTCTCTCCAATATTAAATTTAGAAAAGTGCTAGTAATGCAATATATCTCATGAAAAACATCAAGCCAGCAAGCATCTAGAAAATGAACCTAAATTATACTTTATGCGGGCAAGAATATAAATTTAACATTTTACTGGTACTATCAACTCTCTATATTCTACTCTGAAAAACAATAAGTGGCATAATTCATTTAAAGGGTTTAATTTAAATGTAAAAATGAAATATATGATACTTTAGGAATTTAAAGCATTTCAAACTAATGAATGAAATCACAACACAAACACACAGCTAGGATACTACTCGGCTTTCCATCTTTGCTTTGAAAATCTAAAGAAAACACCTTTTTTTGAAATTTTAAATATTACTCATTAAAATTCTATAACCAACCATATACTTTTTTTTCAAAAGATTACACTTAAAAGCATTTCTTTCACCTCAAATAATCCCTTTTATGTCCAAAATTTACTTTTAATATCTTTCATTGTAACTTAATAAAAAAAAGGGCCCATTCCTAGCTTTACTGACTAAAACCTGAGGCTATGCTGCAACTCTTCCATTTAGTCAAGTTTATTCTCTCTCATACCCTGAGCAGTCTCGAATGGCCAAAAGTCCATGATAAACAGCAAGTTTTTAATTTTGACTTGAATCCAAAGCATGACTGAGATATGCAGAACTTGGCAGCAAATGAGCCTAACCAACCACCCAGCATCCTGATCTCAATGGAACATTGTCTACCAGTTTCCAAACATAAAGTAGATTCTCTCTATTTGCACTAGTTATGTTCTATAAAGTCACTACAAATCCTAAATTAGCAAATACTGGGTCGTGGCTCCTAAGGGTAATACAGGGTTAGGTTCTTGCTAGCTCTGGTCACAACACTTTACCAACCAATTAATACATAAACTTGTTTTATATGTGCTTCAGTTTTAAAGACACCTTATTTAATATATATTGTTGTTTTATTAACATTGAACTCACAGACAACAGCACTATAACTCATGCCTAAATGAAGTTTATCTGACACATGTGTTTTCTCCATAAGACAAATCGCAGCCTTCTTGTGCTTATGAACACTAGACATCAGTTCAGTGATATGCTTGAAGGCAATTTAAACAGCCAAATCACCAACAAAAAAGCATAAAAATGAAAAAAACATGGCACTAAATGTACTGCAAAAAGGACATTTAGTTTAAAGAATGAGAACTGAAACAAGAAGGCAGAGTATCACCTTGTTTGACCTCAGCTGGCAATATGTACATTGGGTAACTCAAATTTTTCATCCTCCTCAATATATCTATCCATAAATGGCCACAAAATCTCTGCAAGTATTGATTTGGGGTTACAAATAAATTTTAGCAACCAGGTGAATGTGCACATACACAATCTATGAATAATGGAGACTAACTGTAATGACTCTCATTAAGCTCCTTTTTATTGGCCTTCATGATGAAAAATAGGTGATGTGGTGGTATTTTAAAATCTGGAGTCTCCAAATAGGTGTCTCAAAGGTCTTCTATGTACTTACACCTGTAGGCATCAGCATACACATGCACACATTCTTTCACTCCAATATATAAAATCACTAAACATATTTATTCATATATTCAACAAATATTTATTGAAGAGCTATCACATGCTGCACATAGTTTTAGGTACTAGGAATACAGAAGCTATGAAAATAAATTCTCTCATGAAGCTTACATTTAATGTGGGAAAGATAAAAAATAAAAACTATAAATCAATCATCAGGATAATAAAAGCTATAATGAAAAATAAAGCAAGATAAGGGGATAAATAGCAATACATATACTTTAGAGTAGCCAGGGAAGGATTCTTGGAGGCAGCATTTTTTCCTAGACCCAAATGAAATAAAGGATTGAGCCATGCAAATAAATAAGGGAACATCATTCCAGGCAAAAAGGAACAAGTGCAAAAAGCCCCAAGGTACAGATGTGCCTGGCATGCTAAAGATCACCAAGAAGGCTAGTGGGGCTGGAAGGTACTGAGGGAAAAAGATGAATAAACTAGAACTGAAGAAACAGCTGGGGGGTCAGATCTTATACAGTATTGTAGGCCAAGATAAAATCTTTGGATTGGCCAGGCACATTGGTGCGCACCTGTAATCCTAACACTCTGGAAGGTTGAGGCAGGAGGATCGCTTCAGCTCAGGATTTCAAGACCAGCCTAAGCAAGAGCAAGACCCCGTCTCTAGCAAAAATAGAAAAAATTTGCCAGGCATGGTGAAGCACACCTGTAGTCCCAGCTACTCAGAAGGGAGGAAGGGTGTTGAGGCAAGAGGATTCCTTGTTCCCAGGAGTTGGAGGTTGTAGTGAGCTATGATGATGCTACCGCACTTCACCTGGGGCAACAGAGAAAGACTCTGTCTCAAAAAACAAAAAAAGCTTTGGATTAAGTTCTGAGTGTGAAGGCATCTGGGAATTCTAAACAAGAGAGTAACAATACCCACATTTTTATTTTAAGGGCATCCTATATAGCACAGAAAAAAACACAGTGCAGGAGGTTAAGGGTGAGAAGAGGGAGACCACTCATGAGGCTACTATATCATATACTAACTGATGATGGCCTGGACTACAGTAGTATTAATGGAAAGTGGAAAAAGTGGTCAGATTGAGGCTAGAGGAAAGCTAACAGGATTTGATGACAGAATGAATAGAGATATAAAAGAGAGAAGTCAAGAATGGCTTGAGCAGCCACTAGAGAGAAGTCAAGAATGGCTTGAGCAACTAGGTAAATGATACTGCCATTTACCAAGACAAGGAACACCTGGGTGGAAGCAATTTGCAAAGAAAGAAATCAGTTTTAGTATATCAGAGATAGAATTAATGGGTAGTTCAATCAAGTGAGTCCACTCAGATTCTGTGATCTAGCCTGCCAAATTAGGAAGCTTAAGGCAACAATTTACTGACTATTTACTAGACGTACTGCTGGGCAATTCCAACATCATTTACAACATTCTCTTCCTTGAAAAAAAAACTGTTTCAAGATGGAATACCTTTCTTAAAAATAAATTGCTGAAATATAATCCAATCATAAATTGAGAACTTCCAACAATCATAAGAGCTGAATCTATAACATATACTTGTAAAGCTATTTTATTTACCATTCAATGGAGTAATCAACATTTTTATTACCTGTGGAGTTTCATTTCATTTTCTTGATATAGTTCAGTCATTACTTTAAGTTTCTGTTGAAGCTTCTGGTTCTCACTTTCAAACTGTGCATTTTCTGACTGGAAAGATGCTTGTTCAGTCTGTAGATTTTTAATATGCTCTATAGACATTTTTAAAAGTCATAATTAAAGGAGTAAATATTTTTAGTTGGACATTAACATTTCAGAAGGATAAAAATTTCTAAAAATAATTATTAATAAAAAATCTTGGCCGGGCGAGGTGGCTCACGCCTGTAATCCTAGCACTCTGGGAGGCCGAGGCGGGCGGATTGCTCGAGGTCAGGAGTTCGAAACCAGCCTGAGCAACAGCGAGACCCCGTCTCTACTATAAAATAGAAAGAAATTAATTGGCCAAATAATATATATAGAAAAAATTAGCCGGGCATGGTGGCGCATGCCTGTAGTCCCAGCTACTCGGGAGGCTGAGGCAGAAGGATTGCTTGAGCCCAGGAGTTTGAGGTTGCTGTGAGCTAGGCTGACGCCATGGCACTCACTCTAGCCTGGGAAACAAAGTGAGACTCTGTCTCAAAAAAAAAAAAAAAAAATCTTTAAGGTATTTTGTTTATCTAAATGCTTTATTATTATTATTTTTAATTGACACATAATTGGACATATTTTTGAGGTACACTGTGATATTTTGATACATGTATGCTATGTGCAATAATCATATCAGAGTAATCAGTATATCCATCACCTCACACATTTATCATTGTGTTAGGAACATTCAAAACTCTTTCTTCTAGCTATCTGAAAATATACAATAAATAACTGTTCACTGTAGTCACCCTCTAGTGCTACAGAACATTAGAACTTATTCCTCCTATCTAGCTGTAACTTTGTATCCATTAACCATCCTCTCCTTATCCTCCCTCTCTCACCTCCCTACCTCTCTCATAACTACTAATTCCATGCTCTACTTCTAGGAGATCAACTTTTTTAGATTCCACACATAAGTGAGAACATGCAGTATTTATCTTTCCGTGCTTGGCTTATTTCACTTAACATAACTTCCTCCAGGCTCATCTATGTTGCTGCAAATGACAGGATTCCATTCTTATTTGTGGCTTAATAGTATTCCATTGTGTATGTTAGTATTTTAATTAAAGAGCTATATAAACTGTTTTAAATTTTTATTATTATTTATAGGATTCCCAAAACCTTCAACATTCTAATTCTACCATCTAATTTCAATCTAGGAGCTTAAATCCAGTAAAATTCTCAGGAAGTTTTTGGAGATGAGAGTTTTGAAGGGAGATATTTTAGTTCAACATTCCCTGTGAAACTACTTCCACATGATGAACAATACCTGTTTTTACCAAGTAAAAACTTTACCTCTCAATAACAAAGTTCTACCCAGCCCTCACTTTTAAACATAAATTTTGATATGTAAGTCAAGCCAGAAATCATTATCTTCCAATAACAAATGTTCAAACATACTCTAAGTTTAAACCAATCAAGACTGGAGAGAAAAATGCCAACTGTGCTTCTTTTCAACTGCTAACCTACCTAAAAGAATCGTCTATAAAAATGAAAATTAATAATTCTAAATAATTATGAATACTTCATAATTCATGTACTAATTCTTTTTTTAAAAACCTTATTTCTCTCCTAACATAATAATCTCAACTCTGAACTCTAAATTAAGGTACCAAGATAATAACCTCAACTCTGAACTCCTCTAAGACTTAAGGTACCATCTCCATAGCATGTGTCTGAATCACCACCACAAATCTTAATAAAAGACAAAACTCACTCTTGCATAAAGTGGGCAGTTTCCAAAATAATATTAACAAGCATGAATATTTTAGTAATTACATGTAGTAGTATGTAATTATTGGAAAGTACCCATTAATTATACATACACAGCAAAAGGACAGTTTAATACATTAACATTAAATGATTAAATGAACAGGAAATTGTGTATATCTGTCCTTCCACAGCAATTTTTAAATCTATATCAGAAAAAAATGTATTGACCTAGGCATTAAGCCATTGCCAAGAATAATCACTGAAAAAAGAAATTAATGTTGGGTATTACCTCTATTAAAACTGAATCATCCCTATTATAAAAAACCTATAAACCAACACTTAAAACTTTAATATATTTTTGTATTTCTATTCTATTTTGTTTCAAATTTTCTGTAACTTAAAAGAGCACTATAAATGATTATAAAAAAGGGCAGAAAGAGTTTAGAAGAAAGCCTTCATCATCTTCTATGAATAGAAGATCAATTATAGAAATTTATCTTTCATGACACATTTAAAAAAGTAAGTTAGGACCAGACATGGTGGCTCATGCCTGTTATCCTAACATTTTGGGATGCCAAAGCAGGAGGATCACTTGAGGCTAGGAGCTCAAGACCAGCCTGGGCAACATAACAAGACCCCATTCTCTACAAAAAACAGTAATTTTTTTTAAAAAAAGAAAGTTAGATTTCGAAGAAGAGTAGCAGCAGACATAGGGTCTCCAAATATTAGTATAAGAAAAAAATAAAGATTTGCCCAGAAATTGTATTTAGGAATGGGGTAACTGGTGGGGTAAATTCCTTAATACTCTGGCACTTTCTACACACATTTTTTCACTGAAAGTCTGTTAATATACTAAAATACAACTTCTTAAAAGCAAGCTTCATATCTTTTCTTTTGTGAATCTCCATGACTTTTAATATTGTGCTTTAAATATAGCAACTTTTAAGTTAATACTAATGTTTTTTAAAACATAATTACTAAAATTATTATCCAATTACCAAAATCATGTGAGTAGGACTATGATAATTTTTAATATCCTCTATCTTCAGTGGTTCAAACTTTCAAGACAATGTTTTATTATAAATGTGGTTCATTTATTGTATAAGGTTTTTGAAAATACAGATAAATAAAAAATCTACCCATAACCCCATATTCGAAAATAATCATTGTTGACATCTGAATATATCCTTCCAGTCTTTTTTGATGCAAATGTATATGGAGAATTTGTTTACTTTTTTACAAAATGAGATGTTATTTATTCCAACTTTAAAAAATTTCAAACACAGTGACAGATTTTATTGTTTTGGAAATACAAACACTATTAGCAAAATAAACAGAACTATTTCCTTTCTTTCTCTTTTTTTTGAAGATAGGGTCTCACTCTGTACCCAGGCTGGAGTGCAGTAGCACAATCATAGCTCACTGTACCTCAAATTCTTAGGCTCAATCAATCTGCCTGCCTTAGCCTCCCAAGTAGCTGGGACTAAAGGCATGCACCACCATGCCCAGATAGTTTTTTAATTTTTTTGTAGAGATATGTTACCCAGGCTGGCTCTGAACTCCTGGTCTCAGGAAATCCTCTTGCCTTGGCATCCCAAAGTGCTGGGAAAACAGGCATGACCCCAAAAATGTCTTTAAACAAAAACTTCTACAGGTCTAACATCATTCCTGTATGTGCTAATATGCTATGTATGTACATTAAAGAAGCAAACCACACTGCAAGTAGATCAACTCTGCAATTAACAAAGATTAAAAAAATAAGCTTTGATTTGCTACTTTTTAACATCTAAAACCATATTAAACATACAACTGGAACTCAAATAGTTTCATGTTCTCAAAAATAATTTCATTATTTTAATTTCACATAAATATAATGGAAACTGATACGGCTTTACCAACAACTACAACAACAAATCAGGACTAATTTTTCACAAATAGTCAACAAAAGCAAAAGTAAAAAAAATCAAATTAGATCTTCCCCAAATTAATTCAATTAATGGTACCACTCGCGATAAGGAGATATATTCACTTAGAAAAACTTTAAAAGTATTACCCACCTGTAAGTTCTTCCTTTGTTTTATCTACTTCAGATAATTGAGTGTAAATTTGGTTTCTTTCTCCTTCTAAGGTTTTTAAAGAAGCATTTAACTGTAAAGAATGGAAGGAGGAAAAAAGCAACATTAATTAATTATATGAGAGAAAAAAAAAACCTCACTATGCCACCCAACTCTTTTGAAGCTAATTTATCATTTTGATGAAATTATCACCTAGAATGCAGAAACCAATAACGCAGCTTCCATCTTAGAAGTCATCAATAGTTGTAAATCACAGAACAGACATAGAGAAAAGCAGTGAATGCTTTTCACTGGATGCTATTTTCATTCTATTTACTTTCAACAGTAGCTTTGATTAAAGCAGCCTTCAAACTACATTACTAAGATTTCACATAGATCAGCCAAGATCAGAATACCACTACTAAGGTGGAAAAGAGAAAGAATAGACCAAAAGAAAATAAACCTAGTATTTACTTGTCAAAACAGGATGTGAGGTACAAAGGATAAGAAAATATTGAAACTAGAAGAAAAAGAAAGCATCAAGGGAAGTATGAGACAAAATATAAACATTTCATATAATTCCTTATCTGAAAAAATGAATGCAGAACTTGAAAATTTTTATTTTTACAAATTCTAAAAATTAACTATGTGAATTTCTAAAGTTATTTTTAAAATAAAAAGCAATTGATAAAGAACATTCTGATCACTTCTTAAATATGCATATAAGGGAATAAAATGGACTTTTTAAATAGTTATTAAGAACACATGGGTTTAATTAACCTGTGTTCTATTTCTTCCTCCATATTCTTTATATAATAATACAAACCTTAGCAGCATGAATCAGTTTCTTCAAAGTTCCTTTTGGCTGATTATCTACAGTGAAAAACAAAAGCATAACAATGATTTGGGAAAATAGTACAATACCACAATATACAACCAAATGATTTTATTAGTTCATTCAATGCAGGCAGGGACTTACAGTCCCTCTTTTTTTTTTTTTTTTATTTCAGCATATTATGGGAGTACAAATGTTAAGGTTACGTATATTGCCCAGGCCCACCCCACTTGCTATAACAAAGAATTTGGTATATAGCAGAATGACCTTGGACCTGCTTCCAAGAAGCTAAACAGTAATAGCACTGAAGTACCACATCATTTAACAAGGTTCTTCGGCACAAACTCGAAGAACAGAGTTACCATAAGGATTCAGTATTCACTTAAATACAGACTGCAGTTTTAACTATTCTTGGATTCTTACAGCATCCAAAATATGAGTTTTTATTATAACCCAAATTAATTATAACCCAAATTAAAATAACATGAGTTTTCTCTATTAGAAAAAGAATTATTTCTTATATGATAAAGCAGAAATGGAAAAGTACAAGTAGAACTTTACATTATTAATACTTTGGGAACATAATTTTCTTCCAACATATTAACGCTATCTGGAAAAAAACTTTTCTTAAAAATCACACCTTTTCCTCCTTAATATATTTGTTAATTATACAAGAGGTCAGGGGAGAGAAAAGAGAAAGGACATAAAAGTCAGAACTACCATTGGATGAAAATGAGTGAAGGATACATGGGACTTCTGTATTGTTTTTGCAACTTCCTATCAGTCCATAATTATTTCTAAATGAAAAGTTTTTTCTTTTAAAGTCAAAGGAATTGATTTGAGAATACAATAAGTAACACTAGTGAACCTAACTTTTGCCAATTCCATACAACAACCAGCAAGGGGCAATAACAATTTAGATGGCCAAAATTAAATTACTGTAACCATCTGGATCATTTGACTAAAGCAAAAAAAGTATCCTGAAGTATTCATTCATATAATACTCATTTTTCAAACTAGTTAACCATCCATTTCACTAGCTTAAAGTACAGAGAAAAACAGGCATTGAAATGATTATGATGCACTTTTGAAAACTGTTATAATAAAGATATTATCTACAAAGAAAACAGAAGGGAAGGAGGCTGAAAGTCTGTCTGAGGAGTTGGAGAAAGAGTTACTGAAAGGGCAGTATTCTAGCCAAAGCTAAACTATAAGAGATGGTGAGAGGTGAGTGTTGCAGACAGACAGAAAGTGTCAAAATACAAGTGTATAAAGAAACATGGTGCACATGGGGAACAAAAAGGAAATAGAAGAAGCTAGTCACCATTTTGGCAAAAGAGGATGAGTCATGACTTAATACCTAAGTGAGCACCATTTTCTGATTCACTCTTCATTTCTAATTCCAAGTTATCATCATCCATTTTGTCTTCTCCAAGCACAGCAGCCCAATCTTTCATCTTTAGCAAGCGTTCAGTCAGAGACTTGACATTTAGCAAAAGGGAAAAACAAAGAGAGAGGGTAATGCCTTATACTAACGGCTTTATAACTTCTGAATGTACAGCTCTAGTTTAAAAATCAATCCACATAAATAACAGCACATGAGCTCTTATTTTCCATGTGTTAAGATATGTAAATAGTCTTAAAATCTATAACATATAATGACTATTAAACTCTTCAAGATAAAAACCAAAACTAGTTACTCTTAAATCAAATAAAATATGTGTTAATGGCCCATTCTTGCTAAATATATCATGCAACTATAAAACAGTAAAACATTTTCTTATATGATATTTCTCATATGCCACAAAAAAGAGTGGCCATTAACATGAGAGTAAATTTTGTGTGACAGCAAACAAATCTGCAAGGGAGACACATGACATATAAAAAGAACTTAGATTTGTACTTGATTTATTCAAGTAAACTAGCTGATGAGTTCCAGTGAGATAAAGAAAAAAACATTATAAAAGAGAATCTGAGTGGGAAAATCAGAGGTTTTCCAGAAGTGCTTTTTGAATTTTCTTGAATAAAGACAGATTTTCTAACACTATAGATAATCAAATGACTGTGAAGGACCATCTAAATATCTACTCTGCTCTACAATTTTTACCCTTCGATCTCCTCCCTCTCTTCAGAGTTCCATGCACAAATAACATGGCCCACAGCTTTGAGTAGAACTTGAGGTTAGCATCTCATTCTTGTTCTGTTTAGGAAGAATTCTAAGCCCTTTAGTTGAGTAAGTTTAGAGGAAAAAATTAAATATGCCAAATTCTGAATAAAACTCAGGAAGCTGGAATCTTGAAAATATTCATGGTAGCAACATAACTAGCATAAATGTATTTCTTTCCATATGACAACATACACTCCACTGTGTAAATTACAGAATGTTAGTTTTACATCTCATTACTTGGTATACCTGACTATCTGTTTGTAGCTTGAAAGCATAAGATTTTTCTCAAACATACAGGAAAAATGGGAGGAGAAGTAGGGAGTAGGAAAAAGTCAATAAATCCTAAGAGTTACACCAATTATTTCATTCCTATAATTAGAATCAAGTTTCAATTAAATTTATTTTTTAAGATGGATTCATCTCTGTGAAAGTACACACATCAGCTAATCTACTAAATATACTCCATCAGGCTGGGCATGGTGGTTTATACCTACAATCTCAGCACTTTGGGAGGCTGATGCAGGAGGATTGGCTGAGGCCATGAGTTCAAGACCAGCCTAGGCAACATAGCAAAACCCCGTCTCAACAAAAAATTTTTAAAAATTAGCCAGGCATGGTGGTGCATGCCTGTAATTGTGGCTACTTGGGAGGCTGAGGCAGGAGGATCACTTGCACCTAGGAGTTAGAGGCTGTGGTAAGCTATGATTGTGCCACTGCACTCCAGCCTAGATGACAGAGGAAGACCCTACCTCTAAAAAATAATAATAAAAATTAAAAAAATAGGCCAGGCACAGTGGCTCACGCCTGTAATCCTAGCACTCTGGGAGGCCCAGGAGGGAGGATCACTCCAGGTCAGGAGTTCGAAACCAGAGTGAGCAAGAGTGAGACCTCATCTCTATTAAAAAATGGAAAGAAATTAATTGGCCGACTAAAAATATATAGAAAAGATGAGTCGGGCATGGTGGCGCATGCCTGTAGTCCCAGCTACTCAGGAGGCTGAGGCAGAAGGATCACTTGAGCCCAAGAGTCTGAGGTTGCTGTGAGCTAGGCTGATGCCACAGCACTCTGACCTGGGCAACAGAGTGAGACTACATCTCACAAACAACTTTTTTTAATTTAAAAAATTTTTTAAATAAAAATTAAAAAAATAAAAAGATATTCAGTCAATACATGTAACTTTATCTGTTCAATTTCTCAAGCTCTTTCCAATCTCTTCTTCCCAAAAGAAGCAGATTACAGACTAAAGAGAAAAGGTAAAAACCTTTATCACTTTTCTTTCTTAAATATCTAGGCTACAATACAGAGAAGAAAAAAGAAGATACAGAATGTTGATATATATGCTACAAATCTGTAAGTCTTCAAGGAGCATTTGAAAATGTTGCCAAATACATTATGAAAATAAAAACTGCTAAAATCAAAAGTTCTCAAATTTCAGAGTTAGTATAAAATTCTAGCCAACTCAATCACTAAGACCAGTAGAGCCATTTACCTTGATGTGATTTTCTTTATCATTTAGAACTTGTTCTGCATGTACTTTGGAGTCTTCAAATGTTACTTTCTGTTTATTAAGTTCACTTACTTGTTCTTTCCATACTTCAGCTTCTTGTAAAAGCTGAAAATGAAATTTAAAAAATGTAACTCATCTTATCATATTTACATATATTTAGATCCACTTATTTATATATCTGGGCGAATCATTAGAAGATATTAAGAAGGTACTGTGCTGCTAATTACATTTAAAAAAGAAAAACATGGCTCCTGCTTTGAAAGAACTTTCAAAGTAGGGGTAGTATAAAATAACAGACACTTAAACATTCTTCAACTAATTTACATATTTATATCAAATAAAAGGTTTTCTGAGACATACATATTTGTTAGATCTGGTCATTTCTTACCACTCCTTGTATCTCATATACCACGCCATACCTTACTTGCATTAAAATTTATTTTTTAAATCACTGTGTTGTTTTTAGTTAAGATATATAACCCTTAGAAATACTATTAATCAAGAACAGACCAGATTCTGCACAAACAATATTTTACTATATATATACTTTTACAGGAAAGAAAAGATTTTCTGAACATGATATAAAAATTAAAGATCATTATAAAAGACAGACAATTTCATAAGCTTTGAAGGCATGAATAAGATATTTACAACTCTGGAAAAGAGTACCCAGATGAATTACAGATAGGTGTAGAGGAAACGAAACAACTCTAGAAAAAAAACAAAATGTTGGGTAAGACTGAATATATAATCAGAGCACCACCATGTGGCTCAGATGTGAGTAAAATTTAGTTATATTTAAGAGTAATATTATATAATAATATAATCAATGAAAATATTTCCCACTGAAAAAGTATAACTACATTGGGAAACCAGTAGAGGAAATATATGTGGGTGTGTGGGAGTGTCTACATATGTGCGGGAGGAAGAGAGTAAAGGTGAAATCCTCATTTGATGTGTCAGCAGAACTACTTCTCTATTTAGGCCCCAGATCTGTAACTTCAATAACCCTCATGGGTATTCTCCGTTCCCCTTCACTCTGGCTTTGAGAAGCTGGTGCTAAATGCTATTCGCTGTGATTTTTATAGTGCATGTAATACTTTAACAAATATCATATTGATTTTTTAAAACTCAATAGCCTTACCAATTCATCTTGTTCAAAATGCTGAATGCCCTGGCTTATTTTCCCTGCCCTGGGGAAAGAGGGTGCAGAAGTATACACTTTTGTATCTTACACAAAAGAGACACCTAAGTATACATGGGAGATTGTCCTGCTCCCGTGTTCTCTAGGAAAAACCTTCTCTTGCCCCTAACATGGGTCAGTCATGAGTATGCCCAGCACATTTATAATTACATATTCACAACATCAAGAGTCCCTACAGAGCAGTAGCTCCCAAACTCTTTCGCACCATGGACTAGTTTCATGGAAGACAATTTTTCTACAAAATGGGGGTGGGGGCAGGGGCCAGTGTCAAGCAAGCTATGGGAAACTGCTGTAAATACAGATGAAGCTATGAAGCTTCACCTGGTTCCCAACAGGCCATGGAGGACCAGTATCAGTCTACAGCCCAGGGGTTGGGGACTGCAGCTATAGAGTACAAACCTGTTTCTGGCTTTCCTGAAGTTGAGAATTTTCATTCAAAGCATCTTTTATTGCTATCTTAAGCCGTTCTTCATTCATTTGAAATATCTTAAAAGTTGTTTTGGCCTAAGTAAAAGAAAAAATATTGAGTTTATAACAATTAGTTTAATTTAATGCATAGCTCATCTTTACACATATTCCCTAGAACATGGAATTTAACAAAGACAAAAACATGCACAATATTAACAGCAGAGGCAGTACGGTGTAACAGAAAAAAGGCTAGCATAAAATCAGAATATAGTCCTCTGCCACTAACTTGCCATGTGACCTTGGACAAATGATTTAACCTCTATGTACTATGCAATAAATTTTAACTATTTATTCTGCATCTCCCCTACTAAAATTTAAACTTCATGGGGACATTTTTGTTGTTAAGTACCAAGCACCTTCAAGTGCTAGTATATAGCAATAGCTCAATGAATACTTACCCAGTGGAAAAAAATGAACATTTCTTAAGTACCTCATGTAAAAAAAAATACCTATCCTGGATCCTTTATATCTCAAATCCTAATATTATATCTAATTCCTTAAAAATAAAAAATAGCAATAAAATTCAAATTATTTTCAAAAGCAACAGACCTATTAGACTAATTCAACTTACTTCAGCTACTTGTGATTTGAGGGATTTCGATTCATCTTCAAGGGACTGTATTGTTTTTAAAATATCTGCCATCTGGAAAGACAGTATCAGATAACAAATAAGTATTTACTAAACTCCTCCAGTTTCCAAGATGCCATATATATTAGTTCTATGTTAACCTAACACTTTTGCTCCATATGTGAGGGCCCAAATTAGAAAAGCTTCTCTGTTTATTTAGTCATATGCTTAAAGGGATTTTATATGAAAGTTATATAATAATACCACGTTTCCCCGAAAATAAGACAGGGTCTTATATTTATTTTTTTCCTCAAGACACCCTAGGGCTTATTTTCAGGGGATGTGTTATTTTTTTAAGTACAGCACAACAATCTACATTTATTCAAATATAGTTAAGTTTCTTCTTCTGGAACATCATCAACATCTCCAAACCCTGAATTCCATCCTGAATTTCTTGCTACTCTATTTCCTTTAGAACCATTGGCCCCAATCTCTCATGTCGAGCAATAGAGCTCTCATGGAGCAGATGAGAAGGGCTGCTCATCTTCTTTACCGCTCTGCGACAAAATGCATGGGTTGTGCAGATACGCTACTGCGTAGCCACATCCATCACTAGGTCTTATTTTCCGGGTAGGGCTTATATTACACAAATGCTTAGAAATCCTGCTAGGGCTTATGGGTAGGTCTTATTTTGGGGAAACATGGTAGTATCTCACCTCAACTTTAATATTTCATAATATTTAAGTTATATAGGTTCAAGATAAGTTTACCAATATCATATTTTACTAAATAATCTCACATACATCAAGATTTTCCTTAAGCCAGATTTTAAAAAAGATAAAGTTAGAATGTTCTTGGCTGGGCGTGGTCACTCACGCCTGTAATCCTAGCACTCTGGGAGGCTGAGGTGGGCAGATCCTTTGAGCTCAGGAGTTCGAGACCAGCCTGAGCAAGATCGAGACCCCATCTCTACTAAAAAAATAGACAGAAATTAGTTGGACAACTAACTATATAAATATTAATATACTTATATATATACTATATATATATAAATAAAAATTAGCCAGGCATGGTGACACATGCCTGTAGTCCCAGCTACCCAGGAGGCTGAGGCAGGAGGATCACTTTGAGCCCAAGAGTTTGAAGTTGTGTGAGCTAGTAGACACACCACGGCACTCCTAGCCAGGCAACAGAGTGAGACTCTGTCTCCAAAAAAAAAAAAAAGTATTAAATATTAAATAAAAGTTATAATGTTCTTAACATATCTTTTAAGTAGTTTAAAAAATCTACTATGTATGTGGCTATTCAACTTAAATTATTTACATGAGCTACTTCTATGTGCTACTTTATAGTGCATATAGAAAATTTCTATAAGAATGTGCAAGAAATTTAACGTGGTAATATCTAGAAGGAAGTGAAGGGTGGATCTGGAAAATTTTCCTATCCACTTTACCACCTTCCATATTCTTTGCATTTTTTATAGTGCATAAAATACTTTAACCAATACCATATCGATTTTTAAAAACTCAATAGCTCTTTTTATTATATTTTCCTAAATACAAAAAAGCCTTACCAATTCATCTTGTTCAGCAGATTTAGATTTCTCTTCTTTTAATTCTTTTTCTAGACAGCGTATTTCATCTTCAAGTTTAGATTTGGACCTGTTCAGCTTTTCAAAGGCTGCCTAAAAGAGAAAGGCAACTTTATACAATAGACTTGGGAATTTGGGGTTAGGGCAAATCAGATGAGTATAATCAAATACATATAGAAGTTAAATAAGTTTAGTTTATATATTTGCTCATTTTTATAATATTAAAATAATAGCATTTCTAGCAGGGGTCAGCAAACTGCTTCTGTAAAGAGCCAGAGAGTAAATATTTTAAGCTTATAGGCCACGCAGTCTGTTGCAACTACTTAACTATGCTGTTGTAATGAAAAAACAAAGATAATACCTAACTGCAAATGAGCAGAGCTGTGTTTCAATAAAATTTTATTTACAAGAACAGATGGAAATGCCGTAAGCACAGTTTGCCAACCTCTGCTCTAAAGCATTATAAAGGGGAAAAAAAGAGAAATAAATCCAATTTAATATAATTAAATACATAGTAACATACAAAATAAACTCAAAAAACAATCAAGATTGCTTCATGGTTAGTATTCCACATTGAATTAAAACATATTTTCTGTGACCTTTTTTTTAATTTAAAATGATTAGTTGTTGGATTATTCCAATTGAATTTTAAATACTATAATAAACATACCTCTGATATTTGTGATCCTTCAACAAACTTGTTAAAAAAAAATAAACCAAAAGATTCAAAAAATTTAATGCAGGCAAAACTAAAAGCAGAACAAATACATACTATATTATATACAGTGGTTATAAAACTTGTTTATATAAATTACCCCATATTTGACTATTACAGGAATTCCCTGACATGAATAAAAATGTTAGCCTATTGGTTTGATTTTATCTACAGATTCAACTATCAAATTTTTTAAAAACTGTATAACATTATAGTTTGTATTTAACTATGATTGCAATTCCTGAAAAGAAATACTGTATGTTAAAAAAAATTACTAAAATTAGAGAAAACTTTCCAAACTGTTCAAGCCAGAGAAAAATTCAGCTGATTTTACTGCTATATTATATAAAGGCATTGACCTGAGAATAAATTGGTGTATTCTGTTTTATCCACACTACCATGCTTGAGTAAATGTCTTTGCTACCCAGTCTTTGCTCTTCTGCTGGCATGCCAAATGCATTCTAAAATTCTTTTTAGTTATTAGTAGTTAAAACAGAGGGTCAACAAATAAAATATAACAATTTCAATAAGTTTATAAGCATAATAATAGGTAACAACAGAGAAAAAATTAAGAAATTTATTTTATTTGGAATCCAATTTATAGCTTCCTGTGGACTCTACTAGAAAATTCTAAATCATGACAGACAGACTTTCTGATGATTACAGACATCAGTGATTAAGAACAGTCAAGCTGAACTAAACACATACACCAAAAATATAAGGTCTGCTTTCTACTTTCATGTTCACAGATACAGGCTTTTTCTTCTATCCATTGTCACTACTCTGTTTTTCACAATACTTCCATATCTACAGAGTGGTAAGCCACAGCCATCACTTACTCTCATCTGTCTTTGTTTGGCTAAATTACTAATAACCATACTTTCTTCCTTCCTTACAATTAGCCAAATCACACCTGATCCAACTGAGCATATCTTTCCAAACTCCTCATTCAGTGACATCATGTTGGTAATTTGAACCTAGCCATAGTGGGAATATTTATACCACACAACTCAGCAAATGCTACCAATAAGGATTTCTGCCTTTCAGAGAGCCAGTTGTTAAACATTGGCCAACACACCATGACTTAAAATGCAAACATTTGGTCTAATTCTAGTTAGCTCCTAATATTCTGGGGATGAGGTTTTAGGCAAATACTGTCAAAATTTACACAATTTATTGTTGCCAACTATTCCTAAATTTATGAAAATGAATCCTAGTTTTCCTTTCTGGAGCAAACTGAGGCAAAAGATAAATGGCCACTTTAATGCATTTCCCAGGAATGAAGAATGAAGAGCTTCTATATAGCTCTAAATTCCAGTGAACCTGAACATGTCTCACTCAAAATAAGTTAGCAACAAGAGTCCAAATTTTTATATTATTTTCTGCTACCTACTAATGTTCTATTTCCTATATTTAACTTTTTTTTAAGCTTTAACATCTACAGACACTCTTTCACATTTCTTTCAAATACCCATTAAAAGTTTCAAGAAGATATATTACTTTTAAAGTTTCTGTTATTTACTAAGAATCTTTTCTCCAGCTTTTGAAACTATATCATTTGTTTTTTTACCTCCAAACTTTGTGCTTCTGTTGACTCATTCTCAAAGCTGGCATCCTTTAAAGATGACTCTAAGCCTTCATACTGAAACAAAGCAACACCATAAATAAAAACTCTATACATTTTATTCCGAATTTTATCTGGATAGATGCCTAAGAAGCAGACAGAATCCATTTCTACGTGTACATTAAATTTACTTGGATTTACTTAGTTTTAAGTTCTTCAAATCTGACCACTATAACAAACAAAACCAGAGCAGCTAAAACATCACAAACCACTAGCTCAGACAACAAATGGCAGAACTTCCCCCTTAGACTAAGAAAGTTGTCCAAAATCTGCTTCTCAGAGAACACAGGACTATAATTCATAGTCTTTACTTAAAAGGAGGTGAAAATTCTAATGGCATGGTTGTACTAAAGATTATCCAAAGGTTTACTCAGAATATATATTTTTATGTAAGCTGTCTATTATCCCCCCAACAACCAAACCTCTTCCTTAAGCCTGTTCATTAAAGAGAAATTTATAGTAACAGGCCATCAGAAATTTTCACTTTAAATTCACACCATACAACAAATAAAGCAAGTAGAGAATACAGAATTTTTAAAACATAGAGAATAACCATCTACATAATGCTATAAGAGTTGGCAAGGCCAGGTGCAGTGGCTCATGCCTGTAATCCTAGCACTTTGGGAGGCTGAGGCGGGAGGATCGCTGCAGGCCAGGAGTTCAAGACCAGCCTGAGCAGCACAGTGAGAACTCATCTCTACTAAAAATAGAAAAATTCCTGGGCATGGTAGCGCGTGCCTGTAGTTCCAGCTACTAGAGAGGCCAAGGCAGGATTGCTTGAGCCCAGGAGTTTGAGGATGCAGTGAGCTATGATGACACTACTGCACTCTAGCCTGGGTAACAGTGTGAGACCCTGTTTCAAATTTTAAAAAATAAATAATAGTTAGCAAAATGCACTTACTTCAATGCTTCAAAAAAAGTAATTACACTGCTGGTGGGACTGCAAATTAGTTCAACCTCTGTGGAAAGCAATATGGAGATACCTCAAAGCAATACAAGTAGATCTACCATTCGATCCAGCAATTCCACTACTAGGCATCTACCCAAAAGATCAAAAGTCGCTTTATGAAAAAGACACCTGAACTCAAATGTTTATAGCAGCACGATTCACAATTGCAAAGCTGTGGAAACAACCAAAGTGTCCATCAATACATGAGTCAATTAATAAAATGTGGTATATGTATACCATGGAATACTACTCAGCTCTAAGAAACAATGGTGATATAGCACCTCTTGTATATTCCTGGATACAGCTGGAACCCATTCTACTAAGTGAAGTATCTCAAGAATGGAAAAACAAGCACCACATGTACTCACCAGCAAATTGGTATTAACGGATCAACACCAAGGGGACATATAGGAGTAACATTTATCGGGTGTCGGGAGGGTGGGAGGGGGGAGGAGGGGATGGGTATATACAACCACAGAAGTAAGATGTGCAATGTTTGGAGGATGGACACGCTTGAAGCTCTTACTCGAAGGGGGAAGGGGGCATGGGCAATATATGTAACCTTAACACTTGTACCCCCATAACATGCTAAAATAAAAATAAATAAATAAAGTAATTAAACCAAAGACTAAATGTTATGGACCAACCTTCCTGCTAATAACAAGAAGAGCTGGACAAAAATGCCCAAAAAGCAAGATCTGTCTGAAAGCCTCAGAGAACTATCAAAACAGTGAGACTAGCACTCGCTTCGGCAGCACATATACTAAAATTGGAAAGATACAGAGATTAGCATGGCCCCCACGCAAAGATGACACACAAATTCATGAAGTGTTAAAAATAACTTAAATAAGGCCGGGCGCGGTGGCTCACGGCTGTAATCCTAGCTCTCTGGGAGGCCGAGGCGGGCGGATTGCTCGAGGTCAGGAGTTCGAAACCAGCCTGAGCAACAGCGAGACCCCGTCTCTACTATAAATAGAAAGAAACTAATTGGCCAACTAATATATATAGAAAAAATTAGCCGGGCATGGTGGCTCATGCCTGTAGTCCCAGCTACTTGGGAGGCTGAGACAGAAGGATCTCTTGAGCCCAGGAGTTTGAGGTTGCTGTGAGCTAGGCTGACGCCACGGCACTCACTCTAGCCTAGGCAACAAAGCAAGACTCTGTCTCAAAAAAAATAAAATAAAAAAAATAAATAACTTAAATAAAAAATTTTTAAAAAGTGAGACTCTGTGAGAGATGAAGGAATCCCAGGAAGGCAAGTCCAACATCTGACATTTCTTTCTCCCCTCCTCCCAAAAGTAGAGGCTGATAGGCTGAGAACGTGAGCAAAGATTTCAGGAGAATTAGAAGCTGAGAAGACAAAACATGGAGTTGGAGTCCAGGACTTGCCAAGTAGAAAAGCCACGATCTTAGGCTTTAGGACGGGACCAACACTGTGCTTGGTTAAACAATGACCCCTCTAAAGATGTTGATGTTCTAGTCCCCAGGATTTCCAGACGTGATTAAGGATCTTGAGATGGGAAGAGTACCCAGGATTATTCTGGTGAGCCCAATATAATACCAAGGGTCCTTGTAAGAGGGGAGCAAGGGAAATAAAGTTAGAAAAAGGGTGATGTGAAGATGGGAGCAGAAAATGGGGTAGTGCAGCTATGAGCCAAGGAATGCTGGCAGCCTCTAAAATTTGGAGGAGGCAAGGAACAGATTCTCCCCTAGAGCCTGCATAAGAAAATTTACTTATCAGACTTACTGATATCTTAATTTTAGCCCATAAAACTGGTTTTAGACTTCTGACCTCTAAAATTATAAGTGAATAAATGGGTTTTTTTATACCACGAAATTTGTGGTACTCTGTTACAGCAGCAACAAGAAACTAATACTCACACCCACCAAAACTGGCTACCTTATGACAAAGTCTACATCAGAAACAGACTAATCCTTTGAATCAAGGCCCAATTTACAAACATCTCAATCTGTTATTAAAGTAATCTGACCTCCCAACAAAGAAAAGCCCAGCACCAGATGGCTTCATGGCTGTCTACCAAACTTTCAAAGAAGTATTAGCAATACTCTTAAAGTCTTCTAAAAAATAGAGGTGGAGAGAATATTTCCTAACACATTTCGGGAACCAGCATCACCCTGATACCTAACCCAGACAAAACCACCACAAGAAAAAAACAAACTACAGGCCAAATCTTTGATGAACACTAATGCAAAAATCCTCAATAAAATATTAGTAAATTGAATTCAACAACAGATCAAGAAGATTATATATCATGATTAAGTGGGATTTATCTATGGCATGCAAAGCTGGTTTAATATATGCAAATCAATCAATGTGATACATCACATTAGCAGACTGAAAGACAAAAACCATATGATCATATCAATTGACACAGAAAAAGCATCTGACAAAGTACAACTCCTTTTTTTCTTTTTTCAGTTTTTTAAATTTTAAATTAAAGAACTCTTTATTTTAATTTAAAGTTCTTTTCTTAAAACAAAATTTCAGAGTATTACAGGGGTACAAATGCTTTGGTTACATAAATTGCCTTTGCACCAACTGAGTCAGAGCTACAAGTGTGCCCATACCCCAAACAGCACCCACTACATCCGTTAGGTGTGAATTTACCCATTCCCTCCTCCCCCCTACCTGTCTGACACCCTACAAATGTTACATCCCCTACATGCACATTAGTGTTAATCAATTAGTATTTGGGTTTTTTTATTTAAGAGACTAGGTGTCACTATGTTGCCCAGGGTATGGAACTCCTGGGCTCAAGCAATCCTCCCATCTCAGCCTCCCAAGTAGCTGGGACTAGAGGTATGCTCCACCACACCCAGCTCAACATCCTTTCTTGATAAAAACTCTAACAGTTTAGGTACAGAAGGAAAATTGCTCAACATAATAAAGGTCAATTATGAAAAACTGACAGCTAATATCATAATCAATGGGGAGAAACTGAAAGCTTTTCCTCTAAGATCAGGTACAAAGCAAGGATGCCCACTCTCACCACTTCTATTCAATGTGTTACTGGAATTACTAACAAGAGCAATTAGACCCCAAAAAATAAAAAGAAATAAAAGATATCCAAATCAGAAAGGAAGAATTAATACTATCTCTATTTGAAGATGACATGATCCTATATATAGAAAACCTCAAAGATGTCACCAAAAAACTTAGATCTAAAGCCAGGCACGGTGGCTCACGCCTGTAATCCTAGCACTCTGGGAGGCTGAGACGGGCGGATTGCTCGAGGTCAGGAGTTCGAAACCAGCCTGAGCAAGAGCAAGACCCCGTCTCTACTATAAATAGAAAGAAATTAATTGGCCAACTAATATATATAGAAAAATTAGCCGGGCATGGTGGCACATGCCTGTAGTCCCAGCTACTCGGGAGGCTGAGGCAGAAGGATTGCTTGAGCCCAGGAGTTTGAGGTTGCTGTGAGCTAGGCTGACGCCACGGCACTCACTCTAGCCTGGTCAACAATCGAGACTCTGTCTCAAAAAAAACAACAAAAAAAAAACAAAACAAAACAAAACAAAAAAACTTAAGATCTAATAAATGAACTCAGTAAAGTCCCAAGATACAAAAGCAATATAAAAAAACTCATGGCATTTCTATACTCAGATGATGACCTAACTGAAAAAGAAATCATGAAACAATCTCATTTATGATAGCATCGAAAAAATAAAATAAAATAATAAATTTAACCAAGGGGATACGCTGAAAACTATAAAACCCTGATGAAAGAAACTGAAGAAGACACAAATAAATGGAAAGATATTCAATGTTCAAGGATCAGAAGAATTAATATTTTTTACTATTTATTTATTTATTTATTTTATTTGAGACAGAGTCTCACTTTGTTGCCCAGGCTACAGTGAGTGCCCTGGCAACAGCCTAGCTCACAGCAACCTCAAACTCCTGGGCTCAAGAATCCTCCTGCCTCAGCCTCCCGAGTAGCTGGGACTACAGGCATGCGCTACCATGCTCTGTTAATTTTTTGTATATATATTTTTAGTTGGTCAATTAATGTCTTTCTATTTTTAATAGAGACGGGGTCTAGCTCAGGTTGGTTTCAAACTCCTGACCTCGAGCGATCCACCCACCTCGGCCTCCCAGAGTGCTAGGATTACAGGTGTGAGCCACTGCGCCTGGCCGAATTAAAATTTTTTAAATGTCCACACTACCCACAGCAATATATAGATTCAATGTAATCTGTACCAAAATTCCAACGGCATTCTTACAGAAATAAAAAAAAAAAATATCCTAAAACTCACATTGAACCACAAAAGATCCCAAATAGTCAAAGAAATCCTGAAGGAAAAAAAAAAGAGTTGGTGGCATCATACCTCCTGATTTAAAATTATATTATAGGCCGTGCGCAGTGGCTCACGCCTGTAATCCTAGCACTCTGGGAGGCCCAGGAGGGAGGATCGCTTTAGGTCAGGAGTTCGAGACCAGCCTGAGCAAGAACAAGACCCTGTCTCTACTAAAAATAGAAAAAATTAGCCAGTCAACTAAAAATTGAAATAAAAAATCAGTCGGGCATGGTGGCTCACGCCTGTAGTCCCAGCTATTCAGGAGGCTGAGGCAGGAGGATTGCTTGAGCCCCAGGAGTTTAAGGTTGCTGTGAGCTAGGCTGATGCCATGGCACTCACTCTAGCCGGAACAACAAAGCGAGAGACTGTCTCAAAAAAAAAAAAAAGAAAAAAGAAAAATTTTTATGCTGCAAAGGACGCCACCAAGAAAGTGAGAAGACAATCCACAGAATGGGAAAAAATATTTGTTAATCACATATCTGATAAGGGGCTTGTATCTAGAATATATAAAGTTAGAACTCAATAATAAAAAGACAAATAACCCAATTAAAAAATAGACAAAGAAACCAAATAGACTTTTCTCCAGAGAAGATACATAAATGGCCAATAAACACATGAAAAGATATTCAACATCATTAGTCTTCAGGGAAATGCAAATAAAAATCACAGTGAGAAACCACTTCACACTCATTTTATGGCTATAATCAAAAAGACAGATAATAATAAGTGTTGGGAAGGATATGGAGAAAATAGACCACTCACAAACCGCTAGTGGGAATGTAAAATAGTGCAACCACTGTGGAAAACAGTGTGTCAGTTATTCAAAAAAACACAGATGCAGCAATTTCATTCCTAGGTATATACCCAAAAGAACTGGAAATATATGTCCTTACAAAAACTTACACATAAATGTCATTAGCAGCAATATTTAAAATACCAAAAATGGCCAGGGCGCAGTGGCTCAACGCCTATAATCCTAGCACTCTGGGAGGCCAAGGCGGGTGGATCCTTTGAGCTCAGGAGTTCGAGACCAGCCTGAGGAAGAGCAAGACCCCGTCTCTACTAAAAACAGAAAGAAATTAATTGGCCAACTAAAAATATATACAAAAATTAGCAGGGCATGGTCGAGAATGCCTGTAGTCCCAGCTACTTGGGAGGCTGAGGCAGAATGATCGCTTAAGCCCAGGAGTTTGAAGTTGCTGTGACCTAGGCTGACGCCACGGCACTCTAGCCCCGGCAACAGAGCGAGACTCTGTCTCAAAATAAAATAAAATAAAATAAAATACCAAAAATGAAAAGAACCCAAATTCCACCAACTGAAAAATGGATGTGTAAACTATGGTATCGAATATTATTTGGCAAAAAAAGAAATTAAGTACTGATAAATGTCACAACATGGATGAAAGAACAGTTCTTTTTGGTAGAAGTGAAATTGTTGTATCTGTGTTTAACAATACACTAAGTAAAAAAGCCAGTCACAAAGAATTACACTTTGTATGATTCCATTTATATGAAATGTCCACAAGAGGCAAATGTAAAGAAATGCAAAGTAGATAAGTCATCAAGTGTTTTGAAGTGGGCGAGATTGAGTGAAGGGTGATAGCTAAAATGTTTAGGATTTCTTTGGGGGTAATAAAAATACTCAAGCAGCCAGGAAGTTTCTTATAAAGTTAAACTATACCTGCCCTAGTTGACTGTTGTGATGGATGTACAACTCTGTGAACATACTAAAAGCTATTCATTAACACACTTTAAAATGGATGAATTATATAGGGTATGTAGTTATATCTCAATAATAAAACTGTTTTAAAAAAAAACTATACCATTTATTAATACAATACTTTCAAAAAAACATCACATACCTGGGAATAAATCTAAGAAAAGATGTGCAAGACCATAACACAAAAACATATAAAACAATAATGAAAGAGTTTTTAAATAACATAGAGGAATGTAACATAGTCCATGGATAAGAACTGAACATTGTAACAATGTCAATTCTCTCCAACTAATCTCTATATTCAAAGCACTCCCAACCAAATACCTAGGAAGCTATGTGATGAGTGTGGGTGTAAACTGACAAACTGATTTAAAATTTATATTTATATTAAAATTTAAAACTTATATGGAAAGACAATCTTGAAGGATTGTTATCTGGATGGTAACAAAAACCCATGTATGATATCAAAACTTGTTATTAAACTACGGTAAATAAAAAATCATGGCACAGGCCGGGCGCGGTGGCTCACGCCTGTAATCCTAGCACTCTGGGAGGCCGAGGCGGGCGGATTGCTCAAGGTCAGGAGTTCAAAACCAGCCTGAGCGAGACCCCGTCTCTACCATAAAAATAGAAAGAAATTAATTGGCCAACTAATATATATAATATAAAAATCAGCCGGGCATGGTGGCTCGTGCCTGTAGTCCCAGCTACTCGGGAGGCTGAGGCAGGAAGATCGCTTGAGCCCAGGAGTTTGAGGTTGCTGTGAGCTAGGATGACGCCACGGCACTCACTCTAGCCTGGGCAAGAAAGCGAGACTCTGTCTCAAAAAAAAAAAAAAAAATCATGGCACAAAAAAGAAAAAAACCAACAGAACAGAAGATATTACAGAAACAAACACATATTAATATATTCGGTCACTCAACTTAAGAAGATGACACTACAGAACAATGGGGAAAAGATGGTGCTTTCAATAAATGGTATTGGGTAATTCGATATCCACATAAAAAAAATTGAATCTTGACACACACACATGCCCCAACTATACCATCACAGATTCAATTCCAGATGGATTAAACACTGTTATGGACTGAATTACGTCCCCCAAAATTCATATGTTGAAGCCCTAAAACCTAGTATCTCAGATTGTGACTGTATTGGGAGACAGGACCTTTAAAGATGTGATTAAGTTAAAATAAGGCTGTTAGGGTGGGCCCTAATCCAATCTGACTGATGTCCTTATAAAAAGAGAAAATTTGGACATACAGAGAGACACCAGAAATGTGCACATGAACAGAGGAAAGACCATGTGAGAACACAGCAAAAAGGTAGCTATCTACAAGATAAAGAGAGAGGCCTCCAAAGAAACCCAACCTGCTAACGCCTTAATCTTGGACTTCTAACCTCCACTGAGAGAAAATAAATTTCTGTTGTTTAAGCCAGCCAGTCTGTGTGGTATTTTGTTAAGGCAGTCCTAACAAACTAATACAAAGACTGAACAAGAAAAGTAAAAGAATAAATTTCTAAAAGATAACACAGAAAATTATTTTTATATCCTAGGGTAGACAAAAATTTCTTAAGAAACAAAAAGCAGTCATTATAAAGAAAAGATTGACAAATTAGATAGACTATATTTAATTTAAGAACCTCTGCTTACCAAGACACCATCTTAAATAAAAAAGCAAGCCACAGAGTAGATATTTGCAATACATATATCAGACAAAGGACTCATATCTAAAATATAGGAGAAAACCTATATACCAAAAAGAAAAAAGACAGACAACCATATCTTGAAAAATGTGAAAAAAGACTGAAAAGGCAACTTCACAAAAATGATACCCAAATGGTTAATAAATATATGAAAATACGCTGAACCTCATTAGTCAGGGAAACACAAAGTGAAACCACAATTGAGACACCAATATATACCTACTACAATGTCTAGAATTAATAAGATTGGTGAAGTGTTGAATGAGGAGCAAAAGAACTCTCATACTCTGTAAAGAAAGCATTAATAACCTTAAATTTACATAGAAGTACCTACATTGAGTATAAAGTTCTCTGAACCTCACATGAACATTATTTTCAAAAATGTCTTACCTCTTTTTGAACAAGGCTAAATTTTTCAAGTAGTTTACATTTTTCTTCAATTAATCCAGAAAGCTTTATAGCAAGCTTTTTCTCTCTTCCTAAAAAAAAAATCATTATTATGAGTTAATTATTTATTATATATTTTAAGATTATATACAACAATGAAATCTAAAGTAGAAAAAGAAGCTTACCCACATAAAGCCGGCTTCTAACCTGAAACAAATTTTTAACAAAAATTACATTAAAACAAATACACATTCAAGTAAATTTATTTAACATTTACTGCCAACTTATAAACAATGGGTTTCTTACTGCCTTAGTATAAATACAAGTTAGCCAAATGTGTTCTATTTTCAACAAGAAAAACATTATGTGTTAAAAATCTCCCTATTGAAGATTGGAATTATGTATTAGTATATTAAAAGCTCTGAAATAAGTTTACTGTAAAGACACCTGTTTAATTTCATTTAACCCGTTGTTCCCCAAACATATTTGACCCTAAAACAAACTGTTTCATGAAACTCATTATCATATCTCCAAATAAAACAGTCTGGGACTATTACCACAGGGCCATAGATCTGAATTGACTATTCAAGAAACAGTAAACCCATCGAAGCAGCCCGGGTGCCCATCAATTCATGAGTGGATAATTAAAATGTGGTATATGCTCACAATGGAATATTACTCAATCCTAAGAAATGACAGTGAGCTAGTACCATTTATGCTATCCTGGATTAAGCTTAAGCCTGTTATCCAAAGTGAGGCAACACAAGACTTGGAAAATGGGCTCCACATCTACTCGCCATCAAATTGGTACTGACTGATTTAAACTTCGATTTTCAAATGGTGGCAATACCCACCAGAGATTCGGTGGGGGGGGGACCCAATCTTAGGGATGGGACGAGCACTCTGGAGGGGGAGGGCATAACTGTAACCCTTCTTAGGGAGAGGCAAAGATATGCAATGTAACCAAAATGTTAAAAAAAGCCGGGCGCGGTGGCTCACGCCTGTAATCCTAGCTCTCTGGGAGGCTGAGGCGGGCGGATTGCTCGAGGTCAGGAGTTCGAAACCAGCCTGAGCAACAGCGAGACCCCGTCTCTACTATAAATAGAAAGAAATTAATTGGCCAACTAATATATATAGAAAAAATTAGCCGGGCATGGTGGCGCATGCCTGTAGTCCCAGCTACTTGGGAGGCTGAGGCAGAAGGATTGCTTGAGCCCAGGAGTTTGAGGTTGCTGTGAGCTAGGCTGACGCCACGGCACTCACTCTAGCCCGGGCAACAAAGCAAGACTCTGTCTCAAAAAAAAAAAAAAAAAAAACTTTTTAAAAATTTGTATAAGACAAACATTAAATATGTAGTCCCAGCTACTCAGGAGGCTGAGGCAGGAAAATAACTTGAGCCCAGGAGTGGACATTTCGGGGGGAGGGAGGGGAAGGAGCAATATTTGTAACCCTAACAATATTTGTACCTCCATAATATGATGAAATTAAAAAAAAAAGGCATTAAAAAAAAAAAGAAAGAAACAGTAAACCAAATCTTTTTCTTCTTTAACCTCTCTTTCTGAAATATGAAGGCGGAAAAAAAATCCATTTGTAAGAGGACCAGTTTTAGAGCTGCAATACCATAATCAAGTAGAAAAGAAATGAGGACTTAAATCATCTACAGAATATGTACAGACATAAAATTTAAAAAATTAAAACATAGGGTATAGTAGAATGGGTAGAGATGAAGAATAAATCAATGAACTAAAACAACAGAAAACCATAAAGAAATTGAAAAATAACAGTTAAGAAATAAGGGAAGTCAAAAGTAGAAGGGCCAACATCTGAAAACTGATAGTCCTAAAGAGAAAAAAAATTAAATGCAGAAGAAATTTCCTAGAAAAGATGGAGCCAGGTGCAGTGGTGCAGGCCTATAGTCTCAGCTACTCAGGAGGCTGAGGCAGGAAAATAACTTGAGCCCAGGAGTTTGAGGTTGCTGTGAGCTAGGCTAACGCCAGGGCACTCACTCTAGCCTGGGCAACAAAGTGAGACTCTCTCTCAAAAAAAAAAAACAGAACTTTGCACTTTGAATGGTTATATCTGAACAAATTACCACTCTAGTGAGGACTTAACTCGAATATCCTCAAGAATTCAAAATAAAATCTCAGAAGGTTTGTCAATTAAGGGTGATCAAACATCTTGTTAATATTTGTTGCTGCTAACAATAATCAATGGAATAGAATACAGCACAGAAAAGGCCCACGTGTATGTAGAACTCTAATATGTGGCATGGCAGATCAGGGGCAAGAGGTGGCGGAAAAAATTAAGAACAATGAAAAAAGAAATACATCCTTAATAATCCAGAACTAAAAGTCTAGATCTATGGTCCCAACCCCCAGGCCATGGACCAGTACCAGTGTGTGACCTATTAGATACTGGGCTGCAGAGCTCCCCCTACCCCCCAAGCTCTCCAGCCCCCCACGTTCCCCCACTGTCCATGGAAAAATTATCTTCCATGAAACTTAGGAATGCCCCCCCCCAACAGCACAGCAGGAAGTGAGCAGCGGGAGAGCAAAGCTTTGCCCCTACCCAATGCTCACATCACCACCTGAGCTCTGCCTGCTCCTTCCCTCCCCACCCCCACCTCCATCCATGGAAAAATTGTCTTCCATGAAACCTGTCCCTAGTGCCAAAAAGATTGGGGAAAGCTGATCTAGATGATGTCAACATGATGGGAATTGGAAAGTGAAAGTAGAGAACAAGGGATGTAAGAATGTGCTAAGGTTTTTGTCTTGCTAACAGAAAAATATACTTGCCAATATGAAAAAAATTTAAAAGAAATGTATAAATAAAGCTGGAAGAAACTAATCCAAATACATCAATAATCAATAATCATAATATATGCAGACAGACTGCACTCATTAATGAAAAAAGAGATTGCCAGATTAAATATTTTTTAAAAATTTGTATAAGACAAACATTAAATAGAGGACCATGGAAAGGCTGAAAAGTCTTACAAAGATGAAAAAAGACATCAACTATCACTCAAAAGACAGTTGGTATGGCTATATTAGCATCAGAGACCTTACGACAAAAGTGTCACTAGAGTGTTGGAGGGTCTCTACATATTGATAAGGTTCAATTCACCAAGGAGATAAAGCAATACTAAACAAGAATGCACCTAACAAAATATCCTCAAAATATGGAAAGCAATATGACAGTAGAGTGCAGCCCACTTTTCTTTATTCTTGACAGATGAAGGAAACAAACAAAAGAATACGAATATATAATATCTGAACAATAAAATTAGTCAATTTGCAAGCTTGATATAAGAATGATGGCTATATAATGACATACATATTTATGCTAACAACAATAAATGGAATAGAATAGAGTGTAGAAAAGGCCAACATGTATGTGAAACTCTACTATGTAGCATGGCAGATGAGGGGAAAGAAAGGACTATTCAATTAACGGAGCAAGGGGAAAAATAATGATTCGTCGGGAAAAATATTACTACCCCACACAAAACAAAAAATTAATTCAAGATGGATCAAGGACCTCCGTGTTAAAAGGAAAATTTTTAAATTAAGAATGTAGGCCAGCGCAGTGGCTCACACCTGTAATCCTAGCACTCTGGGAGGCCGAGGTGGGAGGATCGTTTGAGCTCAGAAGTTCAATACTAGCCTGAGCAAGAGAGAGACCTCGTCTCTACTAAAAGAAAAGCAGAAAGGAATTACCTGGAAAACTAAAAATATATAGAAAAAATTAGCTGGGCATGGTGGCTTATGCCTGTAGTCCCAGCTGCTCAGGAGGCTGAGGCAGTAGGATTGCTTGAGCCCCAGGAATTTGAAGTTTCCTGTGAGCTAGGCTGACGCCATGGCACTCACTCTAGCCCAGGCAACAGAGTGAGGCTCTGTCTCAAAAAAAAAAAAAAAAAAAAAATGAATTTTAACAATATAGAATAGAGTAAAAAAATTCCAAAGGATGACAGATGGCATGATTCCAAGTAAAATAATATACTACAGTATTGAAGGATAAACATAGATATGACTCCCCCCAAAAAAATTTTTTTGAGGCATGAGAATAATCAACACAGGATCCGGACCAGGGTTACCTTTAGTACAGGGAAGCAGGGGGATTAAATGAGGGAGGATCAACCTAAATGTAAGTGACGGTGACAGTCAATGTTTTTGATTCTAAATTGGGTGATACATCCACAGATGGTTAGTATATTGTTAAAAACAAACACAGGCCAAAAGAAAAGAAGATGAAGAAGAAATGAAGAGTTTTAGTATCAGTGTAAAATATGTCTAGAAAGAAATTCTTTAAAATTTTTATTTAAAAAAATTCCTCTGACTCCATACTTAATTTCTAGTAGTCACACATGAACCTGAATAACCCACATAACTACAACCTAACTTGTTTCCTTAAAATAACAACTATGTTTCTCATATACTTGTTCACCCCAAAGACAGAAATGAACATTCTCTTATTACAGAGTTGGTTACTTACCGATTGAAAACTTCTCCACACAACAAAAAGAACAGCAAAAAAACCAACAACAGCTGCACATATCACCAATTCCCATGGAAAACCAAAAGGATTAGGACCTGGTTTCATATCTTCAGGCAATGCTGCCACAACCTTCAAGGCAAAGAAAATTAAGTCCTTAAAAATGCACTTTAGATTTAAAAAAAGTGTTAATTAGAGTATACTTTGGTGGCAACATTCAACCACTATCACCAACTGAAGAAGAACAGCAGTATGTTGAAATGCAATGATTTTCAAACTGGAGTTGGACACAGGTGCCTCAGAGCTTACCAGGGTGAGAATGAGAAGAGAAGGCCAAAGAAAGAAGCGGAATGACCAGGGGTTGAGGTACTCTTACCCTGAGTTCAACCAGTTTAGGTTTTATCTATTGAGTATATTAGGTCCCCAATATAAAGTTTCCCTACAGAAAAAAAAAAAATCAATGTGCAGCTTTAAAAAAAAATTTGAAAACCACTGACAGAGCATTGGATTTGGAATTTGAATCCCTCCACTCTACCTCTGGGGGGCCCTTCTCTTGTCTGTAACAGGATTAATGCTGTTTGAACATGCAGGACAGGTACTCAACAAAGGGTAACTATTTATATTACTTCTCCTTCAAAGACCCTGATCCTATACCATGGCCTTTCCACATTACTTCTCTCCACAGCAGGTCTTCAGCACAACACAGCTTAAGGCTTTTGCAGTTGCTTTTATATTTCTCTGGGTCAGCTTATTAGTCATCCTCACCCAATGGGGTTATTCTGTTCTTTGTTGCCAGTTCCCAGATATTACTCAATCACAAAGAAAGAAGGCGGCAAGGAAAAAAAGAAAATTATCCTTTTAAAAATCAACCTGAAGTATGATCAGGTTTGATTCTTTCCAGGCTTCAACCCAAAATCTCTATAGCAAATCTCCCTTTCTAGGCCTTTTCTGCCTAGAAAAAAACAGCCTTTAATAGTTATTCTCCTCTCCAAAATCTTTTCTATAACTTTAATCCATATATGTACTCCTTCTAAGTTGCTATCTATAGTTTATTAACTTGTATCAAATACACTTGATTTTGTATCTTCTAAAAAATATCCCTTGACCCTGACTTCTGCATCTGCCTCTCCCTACATTACCCTAATTACCAGGTCATAGAAATGTAACATCACTACAGTCAACTGATGATAAAAGTATTTATTTTGCCACTGGAAAACAAGAGGCATTCAATAAACAATACTGGGGAGAGTTTTCTTCATAGTTTAAATATTCTCTAAGCAACTTACTTGCAGCCAACTTATTCATCATGTAAGACATACACTACCTCAAAAATCTAATAATCAATGTGATTTCTTTATGATACTACAATACTTTAAACTAGGACAATTCTAAAAGCATCTCTCAAATCAAACACGTAATTATCTTTAATAGATTGATATTTCTTAGACTCAATAGCATTTTAACAACTTTCATTTTAAAGGGATATGGTAAATACCAGTCTAAAGCTTTGAGCTGGTTGGATCTGGCAAACTGAGCAAAAGCAAAGAATCTGAGTCTAAAGGATTCATCTCAAACCCACTGCTCTGTCTAAATTATTCGGGCTTTTTCATGGAGACTTTTTACCCTTAAGTTTTAACTACAATGTAATATCCCATCTCACAAAAGCAAAAAAGGAATAACCAAATTTATCAAACATCAACAAATATAATGCAATACAGAATTACATGTGATCTGGTAAACTGGTCCTAAATTTTAGGAGTGATAGTAGTGCTATAGTACTACTATAGATAGGAGTATACTATAGATAGGAGTACTACTATAGATAGGAGTGATAGTAGTTGCTCCTCCAGGAGCAACCCTCCATAAAATATGGCTGTGATTAATCATTAGAACACTTAAAATCTAAAACATAAGTACGATAGGATTTTGAGACCATGTACCTTTAAAAAAATTAACTAATAGAAAAAATTGTTTAAAATAAAAATGGATAAATTAAAAAGCCAGGCACAGTGGTGCATGCCTGTAGTCCCAGTTACATGAGAGGCTGAGGTGGGAGGATCACTTGAGGCCAGGAGTTGGAGGCTGCCGTAGGCTATGATAGTGCCTGTGAGTAGCCACTGCACTCTAGCCTGGGCAACACAGTGAGACCCTGTCTCTAAAAAATTAATTAGCTAATTAATTAATTAAAAATCAACTAATCAAGTTAACAAAATATACTAAGATTATATTAAAATTATTTTCATCTAAACTCAACGTGATATGTATTAACAAACAAAACATAATAGACTGTCAATGTACAGGTCCTGAGAATAGATTACTATAATGCAAAGTTCCACAAGAGTATACCTTGCCAAGGCATAAAATTAACACCAGTCATTCTCAAACCCTTCCCAAAAATAGAAGAGGAGGGAACACTTCCTAACTCATTCTATGAAGCCAATATTTACCCTGGAAGCCAAACAAATACATTACAAGAAAAGAAAACCACACATCAATATATCTTATGACTATAGATGCAAAAATCCTCAACAAAATATTAGTAACATATAAAAGGATTATATAACATGATCAAGCGGGTTTATCTCAAGAATGCAAGATTGGTTTAAGATACAAAAATAAATCAGTGTTATACACCATATTAAGAATAAGGAAGTAAAAAAAACACAAGATCATCTTAATAGGTACAGAAAAACATTTGACAAAATCTAACACCCTTCCATCTTCTAAACACTCAACAAACTAGGATTGAAAGGAATCTCCTCAACCTGACAAGGCAAAACCCACAGCTAACATCATATTTAATGGTGAAAGGAGGAAAGCTTTCCCTCTAAGATCAGGAGCAAGGATGTCCACTACTATCCACACTTATTCAACATTGTACTGAAGGTTCTAGCCAGGGCAATTAGGTAAGAAAAAGAAATAAAAGGGATCCAGACTGGATGGAAGGAAGAAAAACTCTGCTTAATGGTAACATAGTTATATTATTAACATATATATAGAAAATCCTAAAGAACCCACAAAAAAACTATCAAGCTAATAAACAAGTTCAACAAAATTGCAGGATACAAAATCAATATAAAAAAGTTGCAAAAACAAAACAAAAAAAAAATCAGTTGCATTTCTATACAACAGCAATAAGCAATCTGAAAATGAAATTAACAAAACACTTCTATTTATAATGGCATCAAAAAATAAGATATTAGGAATAAATTTAACAAAACAAGTGTAAGCTGAAAACTACAAAGCATTATAGAAAGAAATTAAAGAAGATCTAAATAAATGTAAGATATCCTGTGTTCATGGACTGGAAGATTTAATGTTGTCAAGATAGCAATACTCCCCAAATTCATCTACAGACTCAATGTAATTCCTATCAAAATTTCAACTGCCTTTTTTGCAAAACTGAACAGGTTGATTCCTAAAGTTCATTCATAAATTCCTAAAATGCATACGGAAATGCAAGGAACCCCTAATAGCCAAAACAATATTGACAAACAAAAACCATTTTGAAGGATTCATACTTCCCTACTTCAAAACTTTCTACAAAACTACAATAATCAAGACAACATGGCTGGGCGTGGTAGCTCTTGTCTGTAATCTTAATACTCTGGGAAGCCAAGGCGGAGGATCGCTTGAGATCAGGAGTTCAAGACTAGCCTGAGCAAGAGTGAGACTATCTCTACTAAAAATAGAAAAAAATTAGCCAGGCAACTAAAAAGAGAAAAAGTTAGCCGGTGGTGGTGGTGCACGCCTATAGTCCCAGCTACTCTGGAGGCTGAAGTAGGAGGATCACCTGAGCCCAGGAATTTGAGGTTACTGTGAGCTAGGTAGACAGATAGCACTCTAACCTAGGCAACAGAGTGACATTCTGTCTCAAAAAAAAAAAAAAAAAGAAAGAAAGAAAAAGAAAAGAAGACAATGTGGTAATGGCATAAGGATAGATATATAGACCAACAGAATAGAAATAAGAGTCCAGAAATAAACCCTTAAATTTATGGTCAATTATTTTCAACAGCAGTACCAAGACAAAGCAATAGGGTAAGAATAGTTCTTTCCGCCAGGCACGGTGGCTCACGCCTGTAATCCTAACACTCTGGGAGGCCAAGGCGGGAGGAGGGTCGTTTGAGCTCAGGTAGGAGCAGGCTGAACAAGAGTAAGGCCCCCCCCCAAAAAAAAAAAAGAGTAAGGCCCCACCTCTACTAAAAATACAAAAAATGAGCGGGATGTGGTGGTAGATGACTGTAATCCCAGCTACTTGGAGGCTGAGGCAGAAGGATGGCTTGAGCCCAGGAGTTTGAGGTTATTGGTTAGACACCACAGCACTCTAGCTTCAGCAACAGAGCAAAACTCCATCTCAAAAAAATAAATAAATATAAGAAGAAAAAGAACAGTCCTTTCAACAAGTCATACCAGGATAAATATCCACATGCCAAGAAATGTTATACCACAAACAAAAGTGAATTAGTTCAAAATGGATCAAAGATCTTAATGTAAGGGCTAAAACTATTAGAAGGAAGCATAGGTGAAAATCTGTAACTTTGTTATAAACCACGATTTCATAGATATGCTGAAAGTACAAGCAATCACAGAAAAATAGATAAACTGGATTAATCAAAATTGAAAAATTTTGTGCTTCAAAGCACACCATGAAAAAAGTGAAAAGAGAGGGCACAGAATGAGAGAAAATATTTGCAAATCATGTATCTGATAAAGGTCTACTATTCTGAATATGTTTAAAGAACTCTTGTGACTCGAAAATAAAAAACAACCCATTTTTTAATGAGCAAAAGGAAATGAACAGACATTTCTCCAAAGATATACAAATAGACAATAAGCAAAAAAATAACAAGTGTTATAAAGGATGTGAAAAATTAGAACCCTCATAAACTGCTGGTAGGGATGTAGAATTGTGTGGCCTCTGTGGAAACTAATTTGGCATTTCCTCAAAAAGTTATACATATAGTAAATATGACCCAGCAATTTCCACTTCTACACAGACATCCAAGAGAACTGAAAGCATATACTCATATAAAAACTTATACACATAGCAGCATTATTCATAATAGCCAAAAAGTCTCAACAACCCAAATGTCCATCAACTAAGGCATAAATGTGGTATATCCATACAATAG